CATCGCTCCTGCCTCCGCCTCCCTCTGCGCGTGGCGTCCTCCCTCCGTGTCTGTGTCTGTGTCCCCATGGGCCTTCCCCTACGGGCTCCAGCCATCGGATGTAGGGCCCGCCCCACCCCAGGGTGATCTCATCTCAGCTGGGTCCCACCTAAGTCCAAGTAGGGTCACATGGCCCGGCCGGCGTGGCTCAGTGGCTGAGCGTCGACCTAGGAACCAGGAGGTCACGGTTCGATTTACAGTCGGGCACAGGCCTGGGCTGCGGGCTCCATCCCCAGTGTGGGGTGTGCAGGAGGCAGCCGATCGATGATTCTCTCTCATTGATGTTTCTATCTCTCCCTCACCCTTCCTCTCTGAAATCAATAAAAATATATTTTAAAAAAAACAAAAAACAAACAGGGTCACATTCCAGGTTTGGGGGGCAGGACTTCCGCGTGTCTTTTTGGGGGACACAACTCTACCCACAACAGGGGCAGAAGCCCGGGACTCAGCCCAGCAGGCAGATTGCCTTACCCCTTTATTGAGGGGGGGGGGGGTGTTGCTCCACGTGCTTTTTATGCATGCTAGTATATTGATCGATTCTTACATGTGCTCTGACCGGGGATCGAACCCACAACCTTGGTGTATTGGGCGGGAGGATGCTCTAACCAACTGAGTGACTCGGCCAGAGCAAGGTTGCCTTTTCTGCATCCAGCTCAAGTGTTCGGGCAGCCCAGGCAGGCGGGTGGCCATTCTCTGGACAGGAGGCTGGAGGGGCCCCTGGTGGAGGAGGACCCCCCCCCCCCCCCCCCCCCGCATCCTGCCAGCGCTGCCTCTGTTCATGATGTTGATTAAAGTAAAGAAGCCGGGGCTGCTGTTTGCTCAGGGCCCGCTGTGGGCGGGGCCCCTGGCAGACGCGAGCTGTCCCCAGTGCGGGAGCTGGCGGGCACTCCAGGAGCACATGACTTGTCTCGCCCCACCTCACCCCTGGGGGGCAGGTCCACACCTGCCTGTCCTTCCCCGAGGAGGGAGGAGAGGGCTCCCGCGTGCCTGGCACACTGCTGAGCCCCTCCCTGGGTGTCGCCTGACCAGGGCTCCCCAGCCAGCGGGAGGCCTTCCCATCAGCTTGGGGAGCCCCAGGCCTCACCACCAGGGGGCAGAAGTGCCCCTCAGAGCGGGCAGTGCCAGGGGTGGGCAGGGCTAAAGTCGCTGTTGGCAGGAGTGAGGGAGCCGGGGACAGTCCTGCTGGCTCTAGCTTCTGCACTGGCTCAGTTTCTCTGTAACCCCTGCCTGGCTGCGTTTTCGAGGACTAGAGGCCGGATGACTCGAGTGGCCTCCCTCCGCCCTGCCTCCCCACCCCCACACAGGTGGGAGGTGCGGAGCTGGGGAAGGCGGCGGGGGTACCTGCAGGCCCTGGCCCCGGGCTCCAGGCTGCCCACCTGTGGGAAACAGCGGAAGGTGGTACCGTGCTCAGGGTCTGCAGAGCCCAGGGCACAGGCCTCCTGAGGACCCTGATTCCCCGGTTCCCGCGGGAGCCAGGCCGTCCTGCAGGTCCCGGCGCTGCACCTGTGAGGGTGATGTCTCCGGGCCAGGCCTCGGTGCCGTCACAGCCATCAGACAGCAGGGCCGCCGCCTCAGCCACGCCCGTCCACGGGGCGCACGTGGCCTTTAAAGGGCTTTCGGGTTCCCCCTGTCCCCCACACTCCCCCATGGCAGCGATGGGGAAGAAGGCAGGAGTCTAGCCCCGGGCCTCACCCATCTTACAGGTGGGCAAACTGAGGCCCTAGCAGTCACCTGACCTGACGGCAGGGCCGGTGGACCCCAAGTCTGGCCGCCAAACTGAGGGCTCCCTCTCCCTGCAGAAGGACAAGCCCTGGGGACAGTGGGTGCTCCTTGCGGACCGGGCCCTGTGCCTGCTCCTGGCACCGTGTGGCGGGGACGTAGGTCCTCACTCAGGCAGCTTTGGGGGCTCATGAATGGGTCCCTCTGGCCTCCCTTTCCTTTAAGAGAGTGTCTCCTCCCAGAGCCTTGGGCACAGAGGGGCCTGCCCTGGGCCCCCCCTCATACAGTTGTTCAGCCCCCCGCCCCTTTCCAGGCCTGGAAGGCCCCGTCGGTGAGTGGCGGGCCTGGGGCACCGGGAGCCGCGTGCCTGCCTGCGGGGGTAGCAGCGCAGGGAGGGCGTCACGTGGGGCCTGGGGCCTGGGCCCGAGGCCCGGTCATCTGACGCTTCTTGGGAAGCCAGGAGTCAGGGCTTCCTTTCAGCCTCTGCTGTGAAGCCCGCGGCTGCGGCTCCGGGTCTGGCCCCCTCCCCCATGCTGCAGGCGCTGCAGAACCATGCAGGGCTGGACTTGGCCCTCGGCGCCCAGGGCCCGCTCCGGGGTTTGTGATGGCGTTGTCCCCTCCTGGCCTCGGCCTCAGACTCTGTGGCCCTGGGGGCCGGCTGCTCCCCACCACCGCAGTGTCCCTCTGGCTGTCACAGCCGCACAGAGTCCCCGCTGCTCCAGCCCTGGGCTGCGGGGTGTCGACTGCTGGGCCTGGCGCTCACAGCTAATTCCTTAACTCTGACTGTAGCTGCTTTTAAACCCCGGGCCATGCCTGCCTCTGGAATTCCTTGCGGCCACCTCCCCCAGCCCCTGCTGCCACCCCACCCCCTTTCCACCAAGACCCCCGCCCAGCTCCCCCCCACCCCCCACCCCTCCTCTTGCTCCTACATTCCCTGAGTTTCTTATCTGAGCAGTCCAGCCAGCAGCTCAGTGGCTGATGGAAGCCAGAGCCTGCCTGCCTCTCCTGAGCCCGCCTCCAGCTCAGAAAAGCCTCTCACCCGTCCCACCCAGCTGGCTCCCTGCGCCTCACCAGGGGCAGTGCCCTGTTCTGTCTCAGTCTGTCCAGGGTGGCACCTTTCTTCAGGCGTTTGCGCCAATCTGGTCTAATCCCTCCCTCCTGTGAGACAGGTGTTTATCCAGCCATTCATCCTGCAGGCCTACTGCGTGCCCACTGCGTGCCCACTGCGTGGGGGCACGGGAGTGTAGACGTCACCACAGTGTGGCTTATGGCATAGGACAAAAAGCCACCGGATGACTAGGGGCAACCTTGAGTCTCCTCCAGGGTAAAGGCAGCCAGGGGAGGGGAGGCAGCCTTCACTGAAAGACACCCTGGGGCGGGGGAGCGAGGGCACAGGCGGGAAGGCCCTTTCTAGGATTGCGGCTTCGGACTTGATCGCCAGGCGATGGGGACCCACAGGGGTGCCCAGCAAGGCTCTCTCTGACCACCCGAGGAGGAAAGGTTGGTCTACTGCCCGGTGTGGCCCCGGGGGCGGGGGAAGGAGGTGACTGTCATCCTGGCCAGAGATGCCATCAGCTCCGCCTGGAGCGGTGACAGTGGAGGCGGAAGGAGCAGCACCCACAGATGTTTCTAAAGGGGTGAGAAACCACCAGGGAGGCGGCTGGGTGCAGGTGAGGAGGTCACACGGTCTCAGCCTGGGGTGGCAGCTCTGGGAACAGCGTCCACGCCCGCGATTGTGGCTCAGAGCCCCGGAGTTTGTCAGCTGGGACTCTGCCTCCCTAGGACGAGGGTATGGCTGGCACGTAGTAGGTGGTCAGGAAATGCTGTTGGATTTGAACTGGACAGTGTCTTCTCACCAGGCTCTTCTTCACCTCGATGGGTCTCCCCTGGCTCCCGGAGCCACAAGAGGAGCCCCTTGGCTTCTCGGCTGGGCCTTGCCGAACTCCACCCACTGCCTGCTTCACGCTGAGGTGCAGGCTCCTGTCTGAGTGGGAGCACTGATGTCGCCCTACACTGCGCAGTGACACCCTGAGGTGGCTCGCCTCCTTCCGTGGTACGGAACCTCTCTCCCAGGGACCGGGTGTTTTGGTTCCACCATCGAGGGTGGAGTGCCACCCTCCATGGGGACCCAGTGGCCTCAGGGCCTCAGTTTCCCTCTTCTGTACAACAGGGGCGGGGCTTTTCCCATCCTTCTCACGCTGAGCGTCTGGGATCAGCCCCGCCTCTCCCCACTGCTTCACACGGGAAGGGTTCGGGGGAAGACGTGGGGCCGGGGCTCTGCTGGCACCAGGACCTGCTCCGCTCGGGCACAGCTTCAGGAGGGCCAGGAGGGCGACCAGGCCGCACTGCCGTCCTGCCACCTGAAGACAGGGGCAAGGGCAGGGGTGGGTGAACCTGTGGGAATCCCAGAAGCTGGGGGGGGGGGGGTGGTCTCTGCCATGTGCACTGAGGCCTGGTTAGGCCCAGCTGGTCATTGACTGTATGACATGGGTCAAGTTATTTCATGCGGAGCCTCAGTTTCCTCGGCTGGGAAATGGGAAATTCCTACTCCGAGAGGGAGCCTGGCCCGGATCAAGCATCTAAAAGCGCTGTGCACGCCTGGCCGGCAGCTCCCTTTGATGGGGTCTCAAGGGACCTGGGAGGGGGGGCAGGGGCTGTAGCAACAGCTTTACTTGTCTGTCCCCTGAGAAAGCCACTCCTGATTCCCCCAGCCCCCCAATCTAGCAGCTCCTCCAGGCCAGGGGAGGCCCATTGGAGTAGCAGGGTGGGTGGGGTCCTGCGGAGGGGCTGTAGGCTTTGTCTGCTTTCATGAGAACCACAGAGGCGTCTTCGTGAACACAGCCTTTGTGGGAGGGGCAGGGAAAAGGGGGTGCCTCTGGTTGAGGCCCTGCCGAGTGGGGGAGTTCTGGGAGCATCGTGTGGCCGTGTCCGCGGGGGCGGGGCGGGGCGGGGCTGGCGCTTGGGACTGGTTTGTTCCTACCGCGCGTGTGGGTTTCCTGTGGGCGTGGGTGGCCTTCGGAGGAGCGGAGCGGGTCCGGCACGGCCGGGATGGGACAGACCTGGGGCTTAGAGGCGGGGGCGCGGGCTTTGCCCGCAGCTCGTGGCCCCGCCCCGTCTCGCCCGCACAGCCCCGCCCTCCTCCCCGCTCCGCCCCGGCCTCACCTGCTCCGCCCCGGCCTCTAGCCCCGCCCCCGGCCTGGCCCCGCCCCCGGCCTGGCCCCGCCCCCGGCCTGGCCCCGCCCCCGGCCTGTGTTTGCGCCGGGTCCGCGCTGCCCGCGGTGCTCGGGGCGCTCCACGCTGCCGCCGCTCGGAGCAATGATTAACCCGGAGGGCCGGCCGGCGCCGGGCCCGGGGCGGAGGCGTGGGGCCGGGGCGGGACCCCGGAGGGCCGCTCGGCTTCCTGCTCTCTCCCAAGTTTCCTCGTAGAGAGCGCAGCGCCGGCCGGGGCCCGCGGCGCGGGGTGGCGCGTGGCGCAGGGCGCGGCGCCGGACGCGCGTGGGCGCGGAGCGGGCCGCCGGGGTCACGATGAGGACTCTCCGCAGGTTGAAGTTCATGAGTTCGCCCAGCCTCAGTGACCTGGGCAAGAGAGAGCCGGCCGCCGCCTCCGCGGACGAGCGGGGCACCCAGCAGCGCCGGGCCTGTGCCAACGCCACCTGGAACAGGTAAGGCCGCGCCCTCCCGGCCCGCCCGTGGGCCCGGGGCCCCAGAGCCGGAGCGGGGAGCCCTGGCCGCCGTGGGCGGGAGCGGGCGAGCCCCCCGCGAGGACGGGCGCGGCGGGCACCGCGCGGTTCAGTCCGCGAGAACTCGCGGCGCCGGAGTTCGGGGCGGACGGGGAAGTTCAGCGCGACGTGTTCCTAGAGCGGAGGGAGCGGACCGCGCGCCGGCTGGCCCCGAGCGCCCGGCTCGCGGGTGGCGGGGGGCGGGGCCGCGTGCCGCCTCCCCCCGGGGTCTCCCCCTTCCCCGCGCCGGGCTCGTGGCCACCTGGGCGGCGAGGGCAGGAAGCCTTTCCCATTTCGCCGATGAGCAGGAGCGGGCGGCGCGGCGGGCGGTGCTGCCGCTTCCTGTCTGCGCGCAGATCGCGGTGGGCGGGCGGTTTTCCCTCGCGCGGCCCCGTCCTCCCGGCTGTCGGCGGGGCGGCCGGGGTGCGGCAGCTGCCGGCATTCCTGCGACCCTCCCCCAGGGCCGTCCCCGGAGGCAGGGCCGTGGGGAGCCCCTCCTCCCCAGCCTTGCTGGGGGAGCCGGGCTGGGGTCCCGGAGGGGGATGGTCAGTGGGATTCCTCAGCAGCGTGTCTGCTCGCGGGCGTTTCACACACAGACGTTCCCACCGAAAGGAAAGGGGGGAGCGTGAGGCTGTGGGTGCTGACCCCCCACACGCCTGGCGGCGAAGTCTTGCCAGATGCTCCTCCGGCTGCGGCCTGGGGCGGGCTCCTGAGCGTCCTGGTGGGACCTTCCTCCCCCGCCAGGCAGGGCGCTCCACACAGACGGCCTTGTCTTCTGCCCCCTGCTTGAGCGCTGGGAAGTTTCTGCCTCAGTTTCCCCATCTGTCCTGCATGCCCATCCCTCCATACAGGACCCACGTGGAGACAGTGAAAGAGGGAGTCTCGCTGGGGACTCTCATTGACCCAGTGGCTGCGCACCGTCCTCACAGGCGTTGTCCCCTCTCCCAGAATTGGGGACACAGACACAGCACCCCTCCCCCCTCTGCTGTGGTGTCACGGGAGGAGCCAAGCAGCCTTAATTAAAACCCCAGCTCTGCCCCTTCCCTGCGGTGTGGCCTGGAGAAAGTCACTTCACCTCCCTGGTCCTCAGTTTCCTTACCCATGAAATGGGCTGCTGTAGGGATTAAACGTGAAGGTGGGTATTAACACCCTCAGCACAGTGCCCGGCATGTAACGGGTCCCCTGTCACTCATAACTCAGGCCCCAGCTCCTGCCAGGGTGGGCCTGCAGGGTTGGGGTGGGCCTGCAGGGTTGGGGTGGGCCTGCAGGGTTGGGGTTGGGGAGGTTCCTCGGGAATCTGCTGGTTCCTGAGCTTCGTGAGCTGCACCAGTTGCGGTCGGCCCTGCCTGGTGTCCCCCAGACAGAGGTGGGGGCACCCTGCGGTCAGCTCTGCGTCTCCCCTGAGAGGTCACCTGGTCCCTCTGCCACTTTTTACTTAAGGGACTTGGGAACCTCCGCTCCGTTCTGTTGCTGGGCCTGGCGGGCTGCTGAGGAACGTCCCTCCCCATAGCAGCGCCCACAGGCCCAGGCCGCTACCCCGCCATCTGCACTCCTAGCGTGTGCCCGCCCCCTCATGGCCCTGGGCTCACTTTGCCACCATCACAGCCCAGGGAGGGGGACAATTACCCCCCCCCCCCAGTTTAGAGGCACAGAGGGGGACACAGTGCCCTGGGAGACGGGCCCACATAGGACATGGCAGAGCGAGTCCTCCCTCCTCCCCAGGCAGAGGGGGACTGAGCCAAGAAGGGAGCAGGGTGCCCCCCGCCAGGTCCCTGAGTGACGCCGATGGGGGCAGGGACCTCTGGGCTTCGCATGGCCCCCCGCCGGGCCCACAGGACAGCAGCCGCGGGCAGGACGCCTGCAGTGGGTCCTGCCTTGCTGAGTTGACTCCTCATTTCAAGTCCAAGATGCACCCCCTTTTGTCTGTGTGACCGCATTGGTGTCCCGGGGCCACCGTCACACATCGCCACAAACTGGGTGACCGAAAACAACAAGTTTCTTCTCGGGATTCTGGGGCCAGAGGTCCAAACCCAGGAGGGCGGGTCCTCCCTGCCTCCGGGGGATCCGTGACTGGCGGCACAGCATCCAGGCTCCGCCTCCACTTGTAGGGCGTGGGGGGGGGGGGGCCTCCAGCTCTGAGAAGGTCGTGTTCTGAGATGAGGATGGAGGGAGCTCCCCAGACCCCAACACTGGTCCCCCACACCTGCGTTTGGGGCAGAGGGTGCTAACCATTGTGATACCCTGCTCCTTGCCAGGCCTGATCTGCCCCAGTGCTAAGGTTTGGAGAGCCCAGCACCTGCCCCACCTAGACGTTAGAGTGGAGGCACCGAGCCAGGCAGGAGCAGGGGAGAGTGTGGGCCACGGGGTGCCGGTGACACTTGTCACTCTCCCCACAGACCCGCCTCCAAGGCCTGGGGTCTGAGCCCAGGTGTGACTTGAAGCCACTGCCCAAGGACATGTGTGAGATCACGTCCCACTGGGGCTGGCGACGTGTGTTTTGGCGGTGAGGGCCCGGAGGCTGGAGCAGTCCCCCTGGCCTGCACCCTCCTGGTCCTGGAGGGGGCCCTGGCCCAACCCCCACAGTGCTCCCCACCCCGATCTCAGCAATGCTGAGCCGTCACAACATCCAGACTCGGGTGGGAGGAGCTCCTTGCATCCCCGAAATAACTCCAGGTGGGACGCAGGACCCCCATCTTGCAGCTGAGGCTCAGGGAGCCCAGGGGACGCCTGCGCTTCTGCCCCAGGGGGGGTCTCCGGGCGGCCAGGGGAGGTGGTTGGAAGCCTCCAGGTGAGCAGTCTGGTTGAGGGGGGTGGAGGCCTTGAGGGCCTGTCGACCCCACCTCCTCGCTCTGGGCCAGGCCCTAGATCCCGAGCCCCCTGCCCCTCCAAGGTGGTCCGCATGGGGTCAGCAGAGTGGTGACCCCCTGAGATTCCCCGGGACCTGGGAACACGTTATATTGCGAGGCAGAGGGGACTTTTCAGGTGTGGCTAAGTTAAGGCGCTTCGGGCAGGGAGGTTATCCAGGTGGGCCCAGTGTCATCGTGAAGGCCTCTGAGACAGGGGATCAGAGTGAGAGCGGCCGTGAGGATGTGAGCAGGAGGCTGTAGAGCAGCGGTTCTCAACCTGTGGGTCGCGACCCCTTTGGCGGTCGAACGACCCTTTCACGGGGGTCGCCTAAGACCATCCTGCATATCAGATATTTACATTACAATTCATAACAGTAGCAACATTACAGTTATGAATGTAACTAATGTAACGAAAATAATTTTATGGTTGGTCACAACATGAGGAACTGTATTTAAAGGGCCAGAAGGTTGAGAACCACTGCATGGAGGGAAGATGGAAGGAGAGGCTGTGGATGGAGGGAGGATGGAAGGGGAGGCTGTGGATGGAGGGAGGAGGTGAGCGGAGGCTGTGGATGGAGGGAGGAGGTGAGTAGGAGGCTGTGGATGGAGGGAGGAGGTGAGCAGGAGGCTGTGGAGGGAGGGAGGAGGTGAGCAGGAGGCTGTGGAGGGAGGGAGGAGGTGAGCAGGAGGCTGTGGATGGAGGGAGGAGGTGAGCAGGAGGCTGTGGAGGGAGGGAGGAGGTGAGCAGGAGGCTGGAGGGAGGGAGGAGGTGAGCAGGAGGCTGTGGAGGGAGGGAGGAGGTGAGCAGGAGGCTGTGGAGGGAGGGAGGAGGTGAGCAGGAGGCTGTGGAGGGAGGGAGGAGGTCAGCAGGAGGCTGGAGGGAGGGAGGAGGTGAGCGGAGGCTGTGGATGGAGGGAGGAGGGGAGCGGAGGCTGTGGATGGAGGGAGGAGGGGAGTGGAGGCTGTGGATGGAGGAGTGTCGGCATGAGGACTTGAGGCGCCTCTCCAGCTGGGAAAGGTCGAAACCGAAGACCCTGGTGGAGACTTCCCTGCCTTCCCTCTGCAGGGAAACAGCTCTGCCTTGTTTTCAGCCACTCGGCTTGTCCTCCGTCACCACAGGCGGGACAGCCACACACTGCCCCCCCCGCCCCCCCCCCCGCCGTGCCTGGGCCTCCCCCTCCCCCTCCTGTGGCATCAGAACCTGGCTGCACAGCTCACAGCCCGGTAGATGGGGAGGTGCGCCCAGGCAGCTGGGAGGAATGGGCTCTCACCTCCCCTCTGACCCTGCCGGAAGGGGCAGAGCCCAGGCTGGGGCTCACTGGGTCGGTGCCGCTGGAGAAGAGCTCCAAGCCTTTGCCTGCGTTGGGTACGCCGCCCCCCCCCCCCGTTAGCCAGGAGCCCTGGGGGCGGGGTTAAGCCAGGGGGACTGAAACCAGGGTATAAGTGACACCTGTGTGCTGAGGAGCAGGTCAGCCTGCCCACAGGCCACACACCCCCCTTCCCAGGTGGTCAGATTGGGGCAGGATGGGGGGCAGGATTGGGTTCCCACACCTGCCTCCCTGAGCCTTTCACCTGGGCGGGGAGAGGGGGCCGGCAGCCCCCCACTTCACTCCTCAGGGCTGGGTGTGACCCCCTGGGGTACCGATGAGGACACTGGGCTCTGTCACCCTTGGATGGAGAGGTGGGGAGGCCCTCTGGGGGCAGCAGCGTGAGGACACCAGCAGGGCCCCACTCCCCCCACCGCATCCTCAGAGGCCTTGGAGGCGGGTCCAGAGCAGGGGAGGGGCCCATGGAAGGACAGGGGTCCCGGATGTACGTTGCCCTGACCCACAAGAGGCCATGCTTTGGGTGGCTCCCACCCCTCACTCTCTGCCAGGCAGGTGGGCAACAGAGAGGCAATGCCCAGCTGGGTCCCAGCCACTCGCAGTCCCACACTAGCCTCCACCCAGGCCAGGGTGCCGCCAGTGCCCCCAGAACCCCACAACTAGCCCCTCCTCCCCCAGTCCTGGGCAGGCCTGTCCCACCAGCCCTGTGCCCATCCGGTGCCCGGGAAGAGGCTGGGACGCGGCCTCGTCTCGTGTCCTACGTGGGGAGGGCCAGGCCCTCTGAGGGATGGCCCAGTGAGGGCGGCCGCTGGAGGGCGGGGCCCCTGGAGGGGAGGCCGCCTGCCGGGACCAGGGCCTGCCCTCCTCTGGCTAAGGCGGCCACAGCTGGGGCCTCTGGGGTTTCACTTCTGTTTTGGGGGCAGGACCAGTCACATGGGCCCTCTCACCCTCCCCACCCTTCCTCTGGGGGCTCAGCAGGGTTTGTTTACCCAACGTGGACTTGGGAGAAGCTGGAACCTCAGCCCGAGAGAAAGGGAAGGAGCGGGTCGTGCCTGTCCCCCCGCCCTGACCCCCACCCCCACGTTTGGGCCGGGCTCCAGGCTGGGTGTGACGCTGGGAGGGGCCGCCTGGGTGTGACAGTCCCCACCTCACGTGCTGGTCGGAGGGAGAGACTGAGGAACCACAGAGCAGATGGCCCCAGAGCCTCCGAGGCCCTCCTCACCTGTCACAGCTGCAGGGCGCCGGCCCCCTTCGCCTCCCTCAGGGGCTGTGCTGAGTCCCATTGTGTGGATGGGGACACTGAGGCACGGTGGGCGGACGTTTGGCCCAGGCGTGCGGCCAGGAAACCCGGAGCTGGGATTTAACCCACCCGCTCTGAGCCAGCCTGGGTGGGGGCTGGAGGTGGGCAGTGGGGTGAGAGCTCAGGTGACCCGATGGGCGGGGCTGCTCAGACAGGAGGTGACAGAGTGCAAGGCCAGGGCAAGTTCCGCCGGTGGCGACAGGGCTGGGTGGGGCCGCCTGCACCACGCCCCCCCCCCCCCCAAGCTCCCCAGCAGCCCCAGCAGGCTGAGAGTGAGGTCCCAGCTGTCGGATTCCAGGGGCGGCTGCGCCAGGACAGCTGGCTTCCTCGTGGCCATTAGACTCCCCCCGGGTTTTCCCTTTTTTTAGTCTGTGTCTGGGGAGCTGGGTGCGTAGATCCTGGCTGTGGCCGAACCTGAGGCTGACTCCTGGCCAGGCCGGCGTTTCATCCTCACAGCAGCGGGGCGGGCACACGCAAGACCCGCATCTCACAGACAGGACACAGGGCAGAGGTCGCACGTCCCTGGACATGGGAATAGCAGCCTTCCCACGCCAGACCCCGGAGCATCGGGTGACGAGCATCCGGGCGGGCGCCGGGCTCAGCTGGGATCAGCTGTAGAACCGGGCACGTCCCCACATCGTGCGCACAGCGCTCAGACCCTCCACCCACCAGAACGCGGGGCCCTGTCCTGCCCGCCCTGCAGGGCCTCAGCCAGAACCCGCCCGGGCCTGCTGCCTGCGGGAGGTGCAAGGGGAGAGCCGCAGCTGTCGGGTGAGCTCTGTGGCTGCCCAGAGGGGCCTTGGCCTCTCTGAGCCTCAGTCTCCTCGTCTGAAAAGTGGGCAGCCAGCCTGGTGGCTGGGAAGGGTGGGGCTGGCGAAGGCAGTCGGGGCAGCAGGAGCTTGGTGGCCTCTGCCCGCCCTGTGACGTGACCAGCACGTGTCCCGCTGACCCCTGCTCACCAAGTCACACAGCCAGTCGGGTGGTGAACCTCAGCGGGTGGCCAGTGGGAGGGACTAACAGGAAGGGAATTGGCGGCAAAGTGCTGGGACATGAGTCTACACAGAGGGGTGAGAGAGCCGGGAGGGCTTCATGGAGGCCGTGGCCCTGAGCCGAGGCTCCGATCTGAATAGCTGCTTGTCTAGTGGACGGGAGGAGAAGGCTGCCTGCGGGCAGGAGAGGCAGTGGATGCAAAGACCCAGAGGGCGCCCCCCCCCACAGGCCCCGTAATCGGGATGAGAGTGTAGGGTGCCCGGGAGTTCGGGAGCGGTCACTCCCGAGGAGCCTCGAATGCCGCGCCCAGGCCTGCTGTGTCTGCGCGTGGGTGGGTGCCTGGCAGGGAAATGATGGGCGCAGCGGAGGAGGGGGAGGCCGTGGGTCCAGGTCCAGGTGAGCGAGGAAGGCCCAGGGGCAGAAGGGAGTGGGGGGCGGGGGCGGGGGCGGGGGCAGCAGAGACCTAGCGGGCAGGATCAGTTGGATTCGGAGGGTGGGGGAGTCGGGGTGAATTTCACCAGATACTTACCAGGCTGCCTCTCTGAGCCAGGCACTGGGCACAGACGTGAGCAACACTCTGTAAGGGTGGAAACAAGTTACCCGAACGAATCACACATTCCGCACAGAAAGTGCGCAAAAGCTGACGGCCCCCTGTGATCTGAGGGCAGGAACCGGGGGATGGGAGGGGGCCCAGGCAGCCAACAGGCCCTGTGGGCAGCGCCGGGCAGGGCTGGTGCAGATCCCGGGCCTGCCGCTCGGGGCTGGGGCAGTAGCTCGGGCTCGGGCACCTTGATGCCCGGGGTGAGGGGCAGGGGGAGGGGGGGTGCAGCTTGGATACGTTGGGGAGTGCGACCCGGGCTTGGAGGGCTCAGGAGCACGGGCAGGGAAGGGGAGTGTGGGGGTACACAGGAGTCCTGGAGGGGGGATGGGCGGGGCCCAGCGCACAGGGGAGGCTGGGACACAGGATCTTGGGATTGAGGTTGGGGTGTGGACGGGATCCCACCAGGACGGTCCACCCCTGCTTCTGGCTGGACCATCTGTTCCCCGAGCCCAGCAGGAAGGCTGCCATGGAAACGGGGCGGGGGGCGGTCCTGGGGGCTGGGAGGGTCCCGGGTCTGGGCACAGCGCTCCTCTCCCCCGCAGCATCCACAGCGGGGTGATCGCCGTCTTCCAGCGCAAGGGGCTGCCCGACCAGGAGCTGTTCACCCTCAACGAAGGCGTCAGGTGAGTGGCTGTGCCAGCAGGCCCAGGCCCCGGTTTGTGAGGGGCAGGGAGGGCTGTGCCAGGGTGGGAGGCCCCTGCCAGCCCCCCCCCACCTCCCGCCCACCCGGCCCCAACCCGGTCCACCAGCCTCACCCAGATCCACCCTGAGAGCTGCCCCTGGCGCTGCCTCTGGCCTCCGCCCCGCCCTCCCCAGGACATCTGCTCAGGCTCAAGATAACGCCCACATCCATTCTGTGACCCAGGAGGGACCCACCTGCCCAGCGAGGGGAGTGGCATCCCTGGTCGCCCTCCTTTCCTGTGAGCACCAAGGAAGGAGCCCCAGGGGCCGCTTCCCGGAATCTGCCAGGCGGCTGCCATAGTGCTGGGTTGTAGTGGAGGTGGCCAAGGCTCAGAGAGGTCGAGAGACTTGCCCAGGGTCACACAGCTGCTACAGGAGGCATGTGCCGCCTCTGTGCTGTCCCCTTCCGCCCCGTTGATCTCAAGGCGGGAATAGAAGGGTAATTGGGACAGGGGTCCCCCCTCTCCCCCAAGCAGGACAGACAGGGCCAGGGAGGGAGGGAGGGCCAAGGAAGCGGAAGCGTGAGAGCAGGTGCTTGTGGCCTCCCAGGCCCACGTGTGGCCACCCAGGCGGGGGGCGGGGGAAGGGCCAGAAGCCACCGGGGGTGTTTGTTGGGCTCACGCAGCCCTGTGTTCCTAACAGGCCTCTGCTTAGGGAGAGGACTTGTCGCAAGCCTGAAGAACTTGCCGTGTTTAAGCAACAGAACATAGGAAATATTTCCAAATTCCTGAGCAGAGCACCGGCACAGGCCTCCAGCAGTGTCTACCCCCTTCCCCTCCGCGGCATAAACAGCATGGGGAGGGGGGGGGGGGCGGGAGGGGGAGGGGCAACTGTAACACCAGAACACGTACCCTCCTCACCAGCCCTTGGGGACTGAGTAGAACAGGGGCTCCCTCCGGAGTGTGTGTCCGGGGTGGGGGGGGCAGCGATGTACCCCTGGGCCCCAGGACCCCCTGGACAGCCCCGTGATCCTTATCCAAGAAGCAAGTAGAGGTCAGGTGACTGGGCCAGTTAGGCTGTTTGGGGCAACTTCTTCTCTTTTTTAGACAAACACAATCTTTTTATTTACCACAGTACTGCCAGACTTAGTACAGTACGTCTTTTTAAAAATATGTATTTTTCTATTGATTTAAGAGCAGAAGGGAGAGGGGGAGAGAGAGAGAAACATTCAGTGATGAGAGAGAATCATCAATCAGCTGCCTCCTGCACGCCCCACACTGGGGATCCAGCCCGCAACCCGGGCCTGTGCCCTTGACTGTCAGAACCGTGACCTCCTGGCTCACAGGTAGAGGCTCAGTCTCTGAGCCACACCCTCCGGGCTGGGCAGCTTCTGTTTAGCAGATTCAAAACCAAGTGCCGGGAACTGTCAGGTGACAGCAGCGCCTTTCTTTTGAGAGTTCGCTCTGTGCCAGCCGCGTGCCCTGCGCTTCCCATGCCTCACACTCCACAGCGCCTGAGGAATGGCCGCCTTATCATCCCATTTTACAGATGAGGAAACTGAGGCACAGAGAGGTCGTAGTTCGCTCGAGGTCAGAGGACTGGTCACTGGAGCCGGGATTAGGCCCCTGACCCCAGGGCCTGTGGGTCCTTGAGGGCTGTCCCCACCCCAGCTCTTCCCCATCGTGTGGCCACATTAAATTATGTGAATTGAATTTGCGTTGATCCCACAAGAGCCTGTGACCAGCCATCCATGGCCCCATTACCCGAGGTTTCCCCTCAGTTCTCGAAGCTCGTTTGTGCGATGAGGCTGCGCCCTGCCTGGAACATTCCTGCTCCTGAGCCAGGAAGGGAGGGGTCCAGGGCGCCCTCTGACCCCCACTCTCCCTCACTCTCCTCTCCCCTCTTGCCCACAGGCAGCTGCTGAAGACAGAGCTGGGGTCCTTCTTCACGGAGTACCTGCAGGTGGGTGGTCCCGCTCCCTGGTGGGTGGTCCCGCTCGCCAGGTGGGTGGTCCCGCTCCCTGGTGGGTGGTCCCGCTCGCCAGGTGGGTGGTCCCGCTCCCTGGTGGGTGGTTCCGCTCTCCAGGCGGGTGGTCCCGCTCGCCAGGCGGGTGGTCCCGCTCTCCAGGCGGGGGGTCCCGCTCTCCAGGCGGGGGGTCCCGCTCGCCAGGTAGGGGGTCCTGCTCCCTGGTGGGTGGTCCTGCTCTCCTGCCCAGCTGGGATTGCTTCCTGAGCTGGCCAGGAAAGACCAGGGCTCACACACCCTCAAGGGCACCTGGAGCATGACTCAGTTTCCCCATGTAGCCACCGCTGAGGGCTGTGAAGGTTAAATAATAAATTCAGGTGAGGGCTTAGCACGGTGCCTGGCACGCGGCAGGACCCCGGGGCTTTGCTGTCACTGGCCCACCTGCTCCTGGGCGTCCCTGCGGGCCCCTGACGTCGTGTTTGGGTCGCCTCACAGCCCCTGTGCCCTGAGCCACGGAGGGTCAGCGTCGCCAAAGCCCCTCTGGCCCAGGCCCTGCCGCACTCCTGGCCCCCCATCCGGGCAGCGGGCCTGCAGAGCCGCGGACACACGGGACCTGCCGGGGTCACACGGCTGTCGAGGCGTGATTCACACGCCAGGCGTGCGCCCGTTCAGCTGCCCCGCTCCGGGGTTTTAGTGAAGTCACAGCCCTGTGACCTCACCACTGTCTAGTTCCAGATCTTTCCCTCACCGCCCCCCCAAAGAAACCTCGACTTTATCATCAGCCCCAGGCCCCTCCCCCCGTAGCCCCATGTCACGGGGATGGAATCTCACACGTGCCTCTGTGTCCGCTTCCTTCGCTGAGCACACGTGTCCTGTGGCAGGTGTGGGCGCCTCGTTCCCTTTTACAGCCGAATAACATCCCATTGTGTGCACCCCGTTTGTCCACTTGCCCTGGGGGACACGGGGGCATGTGCACCTCTTGGCTGTTGTGAATGGGGCTGAGACCCCTCAGCCGGTGCCCAGGGCGCCGCCAGGACCCTGCAGTCCCTCGTGGCCGCCCTGCGTGCTCCAGCGCCCTCCCGTGGCCGTGGGGGTGAAGGCAGCCTGCCTGCCGGCTCAGTGGAGGCTCCAGGCGCCACCTGTCTTTGGGGTTGTCCCTGCGGCCACCTCCTGTCTCGTGACAACCCCTGGTGGGTCCGTGGTCCGTGTCCTCCCAGGCGAGCTGAGGGTCAGGCTGGGCGGTGGGAGGTGGCATGTCGGTGAGCCCCTTCCCGCTGGGCCTCGGCTGCCCCCCAGGAGCCCCGGACTCCCTCAGGCGGTGACGGCGTCTCCGTGTGCCTTTCAGAACCAGCTGCTGACAAAGGGCATGGTGATCCTGCGGGACAAGATCCGCTTCTACGAGGGTGAGTGGCAACCCGGCCGGACCGTGCGCTGGGCCAGGCTGCTGGCTGGGTGGCTGCTGGGCATCGTGGCTGCCACCAGGGAGGGTGGCACAGCAGGTGGGCCCGTGGGAGCCGTGGACTGCCAGCCTCGCCTGGGCTCCAGGGCTCTGGGTGGGCCACGGGGCCCTCCTGGTCGGGAGGGCTCAGAGGGACAGAAATGATGCGTCAGGGGCGGCAGGGCTGAGGCCTGACCCCGGAGGGGACCTCACTGGGGAGAGCATCTGCCCCCCAACTTGCAGGGGCCCAGGAGGCCCGAGAGGTGTCGAGGAGAAGGCCCTGCCTCACCCCCGGCCCCCAGCAGCCTGGAAACCGCAGGCCTGAGGGGAAGAGGCTGGAGCAGGTCGCTGACGCCTGTGGGGAGCAGCTGGAGGGGGCTCCCTGCCGGGCGGGCTGGGAGGATTCTCTTTAATGCCACACCCACCCCATGCGGCCTCTGGGTCATTGTTCCCATCGCCAGCTGGGGAGCAGTGCACTGATGATGGGCGGCTTGTCCCTGGCCACACAAGGAGGGGAGGCGGGATTCGAACCCCGGCCAGCCTGCTCCAGGGCACACACCTTTGCCCTCTGGAGCCCGTGAGTCCCAGCTGGCCTCTGCCCGGCTCAGGCCTCAGCAAGTAGGGAGGGTCCTGCCCGACCACCCTCCTCCAGGCCCTGAGTCTCAGCGGGGCGTGACCAGTCCACACCCTCGGACTCCCAATGTCCCTGGGGCCACGGCCGAAGGGTGTGCCCCCTTAGGGAGAGGTCAGGCAATGGGAGAGCCCAGCTCACCCGAGGAGCCTTCGCAGGTAGCGTCTTCTGTGCCCAGGCCGGGGCTGGGTTCAGGGTCCATGCACATTCGTTGAGCACCTACTGTGCACGGGCACAGAGTACATGCTTGTTCTGTAGACACTTCCTGACTCTGCTAACTCACTGGGTCCCCCAGCAACCTGTGCAGGAGGTACCATTGTTGTAGCCCTGAACATATGGGGAAACTGAGCCACAGTGGGGTTCAGGAACGCCCAGGCCACGCGGCTGCTCCACGGCTCCTGAGCCCACTCCTCTCTCCGCTGCTCCAGATGCCTCCTCGAGTCCTCACTCTGACCTGGAGAGAAGGGGTGTTGTTCCATTTTGCAGAGGAGGAGACAGGCCTGGCGGGCTGGCGGCTCTGGGTGAACTCCGAGCTGTGTGCCCCGTTCCTTCCACAACCCCCTGCCCCCCTCTCCGGGGCCCAGCGGGTGGAGCTGCTGAGGCAGGAGCCTGAGAAGGGCCACAGGACCTCAGCTGTGCGGCTGGAAGGTTCCGGGCCAGCTTCCTGGAGGAGGCAGCACGAAGCCTGCAGGCCGGGCAGTGAGGGTTTGGCACCTGGCGGAGACGCCCGCCCACGCCCCTCTCCTGACTCGGCACATTCCCGTGGAGTCTGCGCCTCCCACCAGCGCCAGCCCAGGGGAGAGGGGATCCTCGGAGAAGGGGAGCTTTGTGTGGCTGGGTGGAGTCCTGCCCACAGCGGCCGTGTCCACCAGGCCGCCCAGCAAGGATTGCCAGCCCTGTCCAAACCCCCTGGCCTCAGGGACAGGCCCGGAGCCCGTTCTCATCCAGCCAGAGACGCAGCCTTTCCTTCTGGCTCAGTGTCCCCGTCTGAGACTGAGGGGTTGGCCGGGCTCCATCCACATGCTCAGCACGTGCCAGCGCCCAGGCGGCCCTGGGGACATGAAACGGAGGAGACCCAGGCCCTGCCCAGCAGGGCCTCACAGCCATGCGGGGACACCAGATGGCAAAGTCCAGTGTGCTGCGTGTCAGGGTGAAGGGATTGGTTTCATTGGCAATCCGGGAGGGCTGCATGGAGGTGGCGGCCTTTGAGTAGAGCCTCGGAATATAGTCTGTTCCGGAAGACATCTGACCCCCTTCAGCCCTGCAGTGGGAACAGTAACCGACCTGTCACCCTGAGAACAGCCTCGAGAGCCTCCCACCCCAGTTTGGGTCCCAGGGCGAGTTCTTCCTGGAGACTGCTGCCTGCGCCCAGCCATGACCTTGCCCGTGGCTCTGATGAACAAGGTGGCGGCCCCTGGGATGGCCCCAGACCCTCACCACTGCTCCTGTCGCCGCCCCCATGGAGGCCTTGAATGTGGGCTCCCAAGCAGTGATCCCTGCAAATGAGAAGCCTGGAGGCCAGCCAGGAGGTGGAGGCTCCTCCCCGGGACGCGTCCCAGGCTGTCGTTTGGTGGTCTCAGCGCGGTGGCTACTAGGAGTGGACTCCAGCCGCAGCCAGGATGACCCCCTCAGCAGCCAGGCCCGTGGTCATCACTGTCCCTGGTAACTCCCCAAGCCAGGCTGAGACCCGAGCCGACATCCAGGCCTCAGAGTCGGCCCTCAGCGCGTGGCAAAGGAAGACTGACCTGCCCCCGGGACAGAACGGCTTGGGCCACAGCCGCTGCCTGGGCCCTGCTGAATGTCAGCAGGGACATGGCCCACCCGGTCATCGTGGCCACAGCCACACTCCCTGAGCTCCTGATCGTAGCCCTGTGCAAGTGGGACAGCTATTGCACCCATTTTACAGAGAGCCACACTGAGGCTCGGGGTGCGGGGCTCCCCTGGGGCCCCACAGCAAAGCTTCAGCTCCGTGCTGCCTGCCTGTCACCCCCAGACCTCAGTCCCCAGCAGGGATCCTGGCCAGTGGGCGAGGCCAGCGTGCGGCTCCGGCCGGGCCTGGGCTCCTGTGTTACGTCTGCTTTCCATGGCCTTTCTGCTCCGGGGCCTGGAGGGTGTCCTGAGCCCGGCGGACGCTGGCCTGGCCCACGCCCTGGGCACCCCACGCCGGCCTAGCGACAGCTGCCTTCTTGCTGGCGATGGCGGAGACCTGAAGGGACCTCTGTGTTCAGGCAGAGCCTCTGGGGCCGCAAGCACCCGCCTGTCCTGCCGCAGACCCAGGTGGGCCCCGGAGGACGGGGACTGGCTGCTTGGCAAGGAGCCCAGTGCCAGCAGACGGCCGAGCACAGAGGCCGGACCCCCGTCACTGCCAGCCAGGCTGGACTGGGCCTCCCTGGGCGGCCCCAGCCAGGCCCCCCTCCTGGAGCTGGGCTCCGACACAGACCTGGGGCTTTACAGGCGGAGGGAGGGGGGCCCAGAGCGCAAGGAAGTGAGAAGAAAGACCAAGGCTCTTGTCTGACTCTAGTTCCCATGGAAACCTCCGGCGGTCAGACAGGAGCAGTGCAGTCTGGGAGACCTGCCTGCTGGGGCACCTGCCCCTCCTCACCCAGAGATGCCCACCGCGCCCCTGCTGGTGCCTCGTTGGCTTCTAGGTGGGGGCCGGCTCCTCCCGCCCGGCAGCCCCTCATCCGAACTCTGCTCTTCCCAGTGGGAAGGCGAAGGGTCCACACTTTGCATTTCCTGGGGGTCCCCGGCCAGCCCGGGGCCCTCAGCTGCCCCACCTCCCGGGGTGGGTCCCCTGAGCATGGCACCACTCCTCCTCAGGGCACAAATGCCGCAAAGCTGGTCCAACCGCCTGCTTCCCGCACGTCTACTTCTGTGGTCACACCCAGGATGTTGGTCAGTGCAGCAAACATCCTATATCATCTTGGATCACACCTCCTCTCCTCTCCTGCCTGGGGCGTGTTGCTGTGGTTGGAAATGGTCTCCCTGCTCCCCAGACCACCACCGCCCCTCCCCCCACCCCCCACCCCCCACCCCCGGCCAGGCAGCCTGGGTTTCAGGAACCCAGGCCCTTGAGAAGGACCTTGAACCTCTTGGAGACCCCGTGCCATCGTCCTCACAACTGCTGTTCAGTGCCCTGCTTCCCTGCATGCAAAGGGGCTGGGACTCTTTGGGTCCCCAGGGGAGGGCCTGGCACCGTGTAGATGTTCTATAGATGGACAGACTGGTGGGAGAGTGGAGGGAGGGAAGGAGAGGCGCATGGGTGGGGGGGTTCCTCAGCTGCCTGGCGGGTGGTTACCGGAATGAGACGAGAGGAGACAAGGATGTGAGCAGAAGCTCCGGGGGGGGGAGGGGGGGGCAGCACTGGTACAGGTCTGGCCCCTGTGTGGGCCTGGTGTGGGCAGGACCGGGGACCGGCAGCGAGTGCACACCAGCACTTCCTCTGCACCAGGCCCTGTTTAGCTCGTTTCATTCATCTTAATGAAGAAACAGGCCCAGAACGGTTAGAGTGGACCCCGGGCCACCGAACTGCCAAGGGCTCTGGGCCCTGCCTCAGAGGCGCCTCCGGGCCCGGGACCCAGCCTGACCCAGGAGGCTGGAGACGGGAGACCATGTCCAGTCCGACCCGACCGGGGAGGGTGTGAGTTTCTGCCGCGCCTTTCGGACGGGCAGTGATGGCTCCTGTGCCCACAGGACAGAAGCTGCTGGACTCGCTGGCGGAGACGTGGGACTTCTTCTTCAGCGACGTGCTGCCCACCCTGCAGGCCATCTTCTACCCAGTGCAGGTGAGCAGCCCGACGCCCCGGGCCCCCCGGCCACGGTGACAGCCCGGCCTGGCCTGGGGAGGGACACCCTTCTGCCCCTCGCTGCCTTTGCGGGCTGTCTGCACCCACAGCGGGGCCAGGCACGCTGCCCCTGGCCCTCTCAACCTGCTTCCCACCCACAAGATGGAAATAAGGCAGCTCCTTCCTAAGAGCCCTACAAAGCCTGAGCAGCACGTAGTAGGCCGTGCTCAGCGCACAGTAGGGGCTCTGTGTGTGACAGGTCAGTGGGTCCCTGCCCCTGTGTCTGGGGTCGCTCGTGACCGGCGGGCGTTGCGCATCCTGTGTCCGCAGGGCAAGGAGCCGTCGGTGCGCCAGCTGGCCCTGCTGCACTTCCGCAACACCATCACCCTCAGCGTGAAGCTGGAGGACGCGCTGGCCCGCTCCCACGCCCGCGTGCCCCCCGCCATCGTGCAGATGCTGCTGGTGCTACAGGTGGGCACACGGCCGGGCTCGGGCAGATGGTGTCTCAGGCCAGACCCCTAGAAGCAGCGCCGAGAGGAGGACCTAGGTCCACATGAGTCAGGGACGGGATGCTGTCAGGAGGAACCTGGGGCGGGGAGTGAGCAGGAGCAGGAACGCAGCTGGCACACTAGGGGGCAGGGCGCTGGGCGCTGGGCAGAGCCCGGGGTTCCGGGGAAGGTCCCAGGAGTGTGACCAGGACCAGCATTATCCCTCCTGGGCAGGGCGGGGCCTTCCACCTCCTCAGTCAGCTCCTGGGGCTGTGGGCCGCCTCCCCCACGCCCCACGGCAGTCCCGACAGCTGGTGGGGAGGCTCTCATCTGAGGGGGCAGCTCTGGGGAGGGGGCAGCTGCGAGCGGCTGGCAGCCACACGCCTGGCAGCTGGGGGGTGAGTGGCCTGCCCAAAATGGGATATGGCGGGCCACCAGCAGCCTCCACTGCAACTCGGCCTTTCTGCCTCCCCCGGGCCCCGTGCAGGCCCGGCAGCCGGCACTGTGCTGGCTCAGCTCAGTGTCACAGGACCGGGGCGGGCGCCGGCAGGGAAACAAGGCCAGCAGCCCGGCCACCCAAGTCCGGCGGCGCTGAAGCCCCGCTCACTGTCTGGATCCCCTGCGTGGGAGTCCGGCTCACGCAGGGTCAGCGGGCTGGGCCTGCGGCCAGGCAGCCGGGAAGATCCCAGAGCACGGGGGCTGGTGACGGGGGGCCGCCGTCCCAGGCGGCACTGCTGGCCGCTGAGGTGGCCGGGCAGCTCTGGGGGCAGCAGGCCGGCCAAGCCGGGATTTCGAGGGTGTCGGGTCAGACCTGGCCGGGTTGAAGCTGGGGGCCTCGGCGTGTGATGGAGTGAGGCCGCCTGTTGGCAGGCAGGTTCAGGGATAATGGGGAGACATTGGATGGAAAGCCCCCAGTATGCCCCTGGGAGCAGGGGATTTAGAGCCAAGGAATAAGGTCCCACCTGGATCCCAGGAGCCCCATCCTGTGGGTGGCCAGCTGGGTGGTGCTGCCCCCTGGTGGCCACCGTGCCTCATGCAGCTTTCTGGGCTTGGCCCCCTGGCCCCCCAGGCTGTCCTTCCTGCTCCTTGTGGGTGCCTCCCCAAACCACAAGGTTCTGCCGCTGCCCCGCCCCCCACTTGGCCCACACTTTGAATGACCTTGTCCCAGTGAACTTGTCCCCACTGCTTTCAAGTTCCAGATGGATCTGAAGTCACAGCTGCTGGTCAGCCTGTGTTGAGGACCTACTGTGCGCCGTGCTTCACCCGCAGAGTCACGGTTCCTTCTCAGGGGATCCCATGAGCCAGGGAGCAGCCCTGCCTCTGCGTGCACACAAAGCATGCAGCCCCTGGGCCCCCATTTCCTCTCGGCAATGGGAGCAGAGCGCAGACTCCAGAAACAAGCTCTGGAAATGAAATGACAAAGTTCATGAGAAGCCCAGCACAGCTCGGCGGTGTCATGCTCGTCCCGGCACTGCTGCTGGGGATGGAGACAGGACCAGGGAAGTCCGGGGTCCTTTACGTTCATCCGGATGACAGACGGACGGGCCACCCAATGAATCCCACCCCCTCCTCGTCCAAGCACAGCTGGGTCTGTGGGGTCTGTAGTGATGTCCTTTTTCATTTCTGATCTAGTGGTTTATGTCTTTCTTTGTTAGCATGGCTAGAGGATTATTAAATTTATTGAGCTTTTCAAAGGACTAGCTTTTTTTTTTTTTTTTTTTAAATATATTTTATTGATTTTTTACAGAGAGGAAGGGAGAGAGATAGAGAGTTAGAAACACCGATGAGAGAGAATCATCGATCAGCTGCCTCCTGCACATCTCCTACTAGGGATGTGCCCGCAACCCAGGTACATGCCCTTGACCGGAATCGAACCCGGGACCTCTCAGTCCGCAGGCCGACGCTCTATCCACTGAGCCACACCGGTTTCGGCAGGACTAGCTTTTGATTTTGTTGATTTTTCTCTGTTGATTCCCGTTTTCAGTTTCATTGATTTCTGCTCTGATTGTTGCGTTTTTTTCTTCTGCTCACTTCAGACTTCATTTGCTCTTCTTTGTGGAAGCTGGTTATTGATTTTGGATCTTTCGCTTTTCTGATATACCCACTCAGTGCTATAAATTTCCCTCTAAACACTGTTTTTGATGCATTTCACCAGTTTGGGCGTTATAGCTACGTTTAGTTCAAAATCTTTTAAAATATTTCCTGGAGAACCAAGATGGCGGCATAGGTTAACGCCGGAGTTTGCTGCTTTGAACAACTACTTCAAAAGTGAAACCAAAAAACGGAAGGGACATCACCCAGAACCACAGGAACGCTGGCTGAGTGGAAGTCCTACAACTAGGAGGAAAGAGAAACGCATACGGACACTCAGAGGAGGCGCAGTGCTGAAGTCAAATTCTGAGGTGCGGAGTGCGCGGAGCGGGCTGGCGGCGGAGGGCGCGGTTGGCGTTTTCAATCGGGAGGGAGTCGCAGACTCTGAGCTCCAGATCCGGGCGAGTCTTTAGGGTCCCAGACTCAAACGGGAGAAGCGGGACTGTCTGGCTTCGGTCAGAGCGAGTGCAGCTTTCTCTCTGAGCTTTGCAGCCGGTGCTGGGACTCAGAGAGGCAGAGCCCCTGGGGACAGGACTGAGAGCCGCCATAACTGCTCTCTCCGGCCCACCCTGTTGATCCTGTGCGACCCACCCCGCCCAAGCCCTGCACACAGGCATTTGCCGGATAGCCTCAGGCAAAGGCTAGATTAGCACCTCCCTAGAGGACAGAAGTTCTCTCACTGCTGACACAGCTGATTCTCATAGCCACTTGGTCTGGAGGTCAAACCCTCCCTGGTATTAGCTACAACAATCAAGATTTAACTATAAGACTGCGAACAAAGACCACTAGGGGGTGCACCAAGGAAGCATAACAAAATGCGGAGACAAAGAAACAGGACAAAATTGTCAATGGAAGATATAGAGTTCAGAACCACACTTTTAAGGTCTCTCAAGAACTGTTTAGAAGCCGCCGATAAACTTAATGAGATCTACAAGAAAACTAATGAGACCCTCGATCTTATATTGGGGAACCAACTAGAAATTAAGCATACACGGACTGAAATAACGAATATTATACAGACTCCCGACAGCAGACCAGAGGAGCGCAAGAATCAAGTCAATGATATGAAATGCGAGGAAGCAAAAAACACCCAACCGGAAAAGCAAAATGAAAAAAGAATCCGAAAATACGAGGATAGTGTAAGGAGCCTCTGGGACAGCTTCAAGCGTACCAGCATCAGAATTATAGGGGTGCCAGAAGATGAGAGAGAGCAAGATATTGAAAACCTATTTGAAGAAATAATGACAGAAAACTTCCCCCACCTGGTGAAAGAAATGGACTTACAGGTCCAAGAAGCGCGGAGAACCCCAAACAAAAGGAATCCAAAGAGGACCACACCAAGACACATCATAATTAAAATGCCAAGAGCAAAAGATAAAGAGAGAATCTTAAAAACAGCAAGAGAAAGAAACTCAGTTACCTACAAGGGAATACCCATACGACTGTCAGCTGATTTCTCAACAGAAACTTTGCAGGCCAGAAGGGAGTGGCAAGAAATATTCAAAGTGATGAATACCAAGAACCTACAACCAAGATTACTTTATCCAGCAAAGCTATCATTCAGAATTGAAGGTCAGATAAAGAGCTTCACAGATAAGGAAAAGCTAAAGGAGTTAATCACCACCAAACCAGGATTATATGAAATGCTGAAAGGTATCCTTTAAGAAGAGGAAGAGGAAGAGGAAGAAAAAGGTAAAGATACAAATTATGAACAACAAATATGCATCTATCAACAAGTGAATCTAAGAATCAAGTGAATAAATAATCTGATGAGCAGAATGAACTGGTGATTATAATAGAATCAGGGACATAGAAAGGGAATGGACTGACTATTCCTGGGGGGGAAAGGGGTGTGGGAGATGCTGGAAGAGACTGGACAAAAATCGTGCACCTATGGATGAGGACAGTGGGTGGGGAGTGAGGGCAGAGGGTGGGGCGGGAACTGGGAGGAGGGGAGTTATGGGGGGGAAAAAAAAGAGGAACAAATGTAATAATCTGAACAATAAAGATTTAATTAAAAATATATATATATATACACACACACACACAAAAAAATATATATATATTTCCTGAGGTTTCGTCTTTGACTCGGGTATGATTTACAAGTGAGTTGTTTGATCTCCATGTATTTGGGGATTTTCCCAGTTATCTTTCTGGTACTGATTCCTGGTTACATTCACAGGGACCTGAGAGCAGACGTTGTGTGCTTTGTACTTTTTAAAATGTAAGATGTGTTTTCTGGTCCCGAGTGGGGTCTGTTTGGCGAATGCTCCAGGGGCTGGAGAAGGATGTGTCTTCTTCTATTCCTGGAGGAGCTGGGGTACGGGCGTCAGTTACGCCCGGCGGATTGCTGGCGGCGTCGGGTCAGCTGCGTCCGTGATTCCTGCGGCAGGACCATGTGTCTGAGAGGGGTGCAGCGTCTCCAGCTGTGAGGGCAGATTCGCGATTCTCCCTGCACTTCCGTTAGCTTTTCCCTCCGTCGTTTGCTGCTCTGCTGTCAGGCGCGTGTGCGTGAAGGGTTGTATGGCGTCTGAGAGAACTGGCCCCTTGCCGTGTGTACGGACCTTCTTCTCCCTGTCACGTGCCTTGGTCTGGAGTCTCCCTGTCTGAAACTGACACAGCTGCTCCTGCTTTCTTCCCGTCGGTGGTCGCCGGCACAGCGTCCTCCCTTCCTGTTCATCCACGCGTGTCTTTGTGGTGTGAGTGTGTTTCCTGAGGGCAGCAGAGTGGGGTTCTCTTGCTGTCTCGGACTGTCATTGATCGTCACCCTGAGTGTATCCTGTTCCTTACTGACAGCCCTGAGGAGTGATGTCATTCATTCATTCGGCCATTCACCCATCCGTCCATCCCTCCATCCACTCATTCATTCACTCATATATCATTCGCTCAGAAAGCACGACACGCCCGCTGAGTGCCGGCCCCTGCGGGGGTCCTGGGGACGCTGGGCTTGCCCCTGGTCAGCACGCCCCAGGCCGTCCTGTGCGCAGCCTCATTCCTCAGGCTTTGGCTCGGATGAAACCGGAGGAGGAGATCCCAGGAGGGGCCAGGAAGGTGCCGGCTGAGACCCCTCACGGGGAGCACCGAGGGGGCGGGCAGCTGTCCGGTGGACGGGCCTTGGATGTGGACCAGGCCTGGCCCACGGGGCAGCCTTTCCCGCCTGCAGCGCTCCACGGCGGCGAGTGAGGACGGGCCGGGGCCACGAGCTTGCCCCTGCAGGACGTCCAGAGCCTCCAGGGAGCTGCGATGGGGACCCTCCAAGGGGCGGACTGCAGGATGCCCAACTGCACGCGACCACAGGGTCCTTTTCCCCCGGGCACCACGGCCGCCCAGACCCACAGCTGCTGGGGACAGAGCAGAGGGGCTCAGAGCAGGACAGAGCCTGAGGCCGCAGCTCGAGGGGCTGGGAGGAGGGCAGGGTGTTGGAGGGCTGTGAGCCGGGCCCGGGGTGAGCAGCGGAGCCTGCTGTGGGTGACCCTCCGCCCCTCCCTCTCGCAGGGCGTGCACGAGTCCCGCGGCGTGACCAAGGACTACCTGCGCCTGGAGACGCTGGTCCAGAAGGTGGTGTCGCCCTACCTGGGCACCTACGGCCTCTACTCCGGCGAGGGCTCCTTCACACACTCCTGCATCCTGGGTAGGGGTCGTCGGGGCCTTGGGCGGGCGCAGGCGACCGCTGGGCCCACCCACCTCTGCCCAGGCCCAGGCCGTGTGCCTGGCCCTGGTCACTCTGAGAGGGGTCCCCTGGGGTCCCTCCTTCAAGGGCTGAGGGGGGCCAGTGGGCAGACACCGTAGTGGTGTGTGACAGCTCCCCTGACAGCCCAGCGGCGTCCTCTGTCCCCGAGGAGTCAGATCCCTGCTCAGTCCTGGGAGTCAGGGGTTGCCCGGGCAGAGCGTACAGCACGTACCCGAGCCCCAGAAATCCAGGCTCACCTGGGGAGTCCCAGGGGAGGAGTGGGGTTAGGGGTGAGGGCGCTGGCATCCTGGGCTGCCTGGCATGACCACAGAAACCAGCTCATTGCTCCTTTAAGGGACGGACAGCCCACGGGTTTACTCATCAATGGAAACTGAGCACCTACTGTGCGCCTGTGCCTGGTCCTGGTCCTGGGGGTTCAGTCGAGACCAAGCCCCACCCTCAGGCTCTCGTCCGCCAGGAAAGGCAGACCAATGAGTGCACAGTCCCCGGATAAGTCCCCAGGGGGTCGTGTGCCCGGGTGACCTGAAGGCTGTGGGCAGGGAGCTCAGGGGAGGAGGAGCCTGACCTGGGAGGTGGAGGAGGACATCCCGGCCCCAGCGAGGGGACAGCAGTGTAAGGAACGTCCTCATCCTGCGCCCCCCACCTGCCGGGCACGTCTCAGCTCCGGGAACCCTAGCGGCTGGAGGGGAACCCTGAGATGCCCAGGTTCTCTGAGGCCCTGGATGGCCCTTAGGGTGAGGGCAGGGTGAGGGTGGAGCCTGCCTCTGGTCCAGGAAGGCCTCTGAGCAGCTCCGCACACTCAGCCCTGCCTCCTGGTGGCTCTCTGTGGAACTGCGGGTCCTGAGTGGGAGTGGAGACCTCCCCGGCCCCCCAGGGCTCCTGGGACGCGAAATAAACCCCAGCCCTGACCTCATGCCGAAGGGCCCCTGGCTACTTGCCCCGGTGTGGCACCGCCCCCTGGACGTGCGGACCCCCTCGCGGGCTTGTCCTCCCGCGCCCTCCCCCGCGCACATTAGGACTCCAGCTCTGAGGACGGCTCTGATCTGCCCAGGAGAGCGCTGGTGGGGAGCTGTGTTGACTTTGCACAGGGGGACACGTGACAATTGTCTTAGCCCCCAACCCCCACCTGCTGAGCAGGTCTCCACTCCCACGCAGGACCCGCAGCTCCACAGCGCCCCGCGGAGGAGACGGGAGGCGGGAGCCCGTTGCCCTTCCCGCCCTCGGCCTCTCGCGGGGGGCCTTTCCGTGCCCGGCCCGTGCGCTCAGGAGGAGGAAGGGCCTGGGACACCCGGGTGCCGCGGTTTGCCCCGTGGCCACCCCGTCCGCCTCCCCCGGCCTCCAGCCTGACGCCTGTCCATCCGTCTGTACGTCCGCAGAAAAGCACCTGCTGCGCCGCTCCCGCTCCGGGGACGTCCTGGCCAAGAACCCGGTGGTGCGCTCCAAGAGCTACAACACGCCGCTGCTGAACCCCGTGGCCGAGCACGAGGCCGAGGGCACGGCGGCCGGGGGCGCGGGCATCCGCCGACACTCCGTCTCCGAGATGACGTCCTGCCCCGACGCGCCCGGCCAGGGCCCCGCGGGGGACTGCACACCCTCCCCGGGCGCCCAGTCGGGGCCCTGCCCCAGCAGACTGTACCCCCCGTCGCAGCCCCCGGAGCCCGGGCCCGCCTGCGGCTCCCCGCCCTCCTCCAGCCCCGAGCACCTGGTGGACCAGATCCTGGAGTCCGTGGACTCGGACTCCGAAGGCATCTTCATTGACTTTGGCCGGCGCAGCGGGTCGGGCGCCTCGGAGTTCGAGGGGGCCCGGGGGCGGCAGAGCATCGTGTGAAGGCCGCGTGTTTTTTACAGAGCCCCAGTGTGTGCCTGCCTGTGTGTGTGTGTGTGTGTGTGTGTGGTTTTTACTCTGTCCCCGCCGGTCCCCGGTCAGCCTCGGCCACTGCAGCATCTCCCTCTTCGTTGGAAAAACCATCGCTGCTCCCCTCCCCCGGCCCCAGTGCCACTCTGTTCTGGGGCGTCTGCACCCGGGGCTTCGCCTGCCTCCTGCAGGTCACCCGGTGCACGGGCCACCCTCACGTGCGTAGGACGGGCATCACCACTCACTCCACCCAGCACGCCACGCCCACACCCGCGGAGACTGCGACTGGCCATTGGCCAGGCCCCAGAAGGACCCTCAGACCCACCTGCCACCTCCCCACTCCCCACAGCACACCCTGTGGGTGACTGTCCCAGACCCTGGGCGCCGCCTGCCCGCACTTGCCATGGGCAGGACGAGGGAGGAATAAAACTTGTCAGCCCTGCTCGTGGTGGAGTGAGCTCCCTCTCACGGACACTAATCCTGGGCATCAGGCCCCACCCTCGTGACCTCATTTAACCTTAGAGACCCCACCTCCAAATACAACTCCACGGGGGTGAGGGCTTCAGGAGGAATTCAGGGGACATAGTTCACTCCATGGTGCCCTGGTGGGTGATGGGCCCATTCCTCCAACAGCGAGACCCCCAGGCCCGTTCTGGAAGCCGAGGGGCACCGCGGAGGGAGCCCAGCTGGGTCACTGGAGCCTCCTACCCCCGCCCCCCCATGAAGAGGTGGCATCTAGGAAAACAGGAGTCTTCCCAGCATCCTGACTGCACCTGCTGAGTTTATATTTGGGGGTACATATGTGCATCCCAAAACGCCCTTAAACCGGGGTGCCCTCTGGAGTTTATTGATTTCTAGAGAGCAAGGGAGAGAAGAAACATGGATGTGAGAGAAACATTGAGCATTTGCCTCATGCACGCCCCCTAGTGGAGCATGTGTCCTGAACTGGCATGGAACGGGCAACCTTTCAGGCACTGGGTGATGCCCAACCCACTGAGCCACCCCTTCCAGGGCTAACGTGCACGTACACACGGCTAAGTGCACTGGTTTTGAATGAACAACCGGGCGAGTGTTTTAGAAGTGAACCTACTGATGTAATCATATCAAACTGGCGGTTTCCAGCCCCAGGAAGCCCCATTCATCTCCCAGTCGCCTCCTCCTAGATGGACAAAGAGACTGAATGGGGCGGCAGGAGGGACCCAGAGGTGGAGTGGAGTGTCCTCAGGGCCTTGGACAAGCTTGGCCGTCACCTGTTGTGCAGTGGCCTTTTCTCCGCCCCCTCACAGAGTCTGAGGGCCCTCCAGTGCCCTGTGGGGGTGAACTCACGTTCCATAGGATGTTTCTCTGCAAGACTGGCCTCGGGGTAACCGTCTCCGTAGATCTCAGACAGCCATCCCCAAACTTGCAAATCCCAATTCCTGATGCACAAAATACACAGGAACCCGACAGTCCCAGGCCTTCACCCTCCCCCAAGCCTGCCCCAGAGGACTCTCCCCCTTCCTCCCCCTCTCTGCCTCGGGGCCTTTGCTCCGACTCTTCCCTCTGCTCCCCCTCCTCTTCCCACCTGGCAAGTTCTCACTTAACCTCCAAGGCCCAGCTACAAGGTGGGGCTGTCTCCGAAGGCCCTCGGTCTTGTCCCCACTGAACACCTGCGTCCCTCCGTCTCCCCCCCCAGGAACTCTCACAGCATCACAGCCTGCTCCAGCCTGTGTGTCTCCCTCGCTGGACGACGGGCTCCCTGGAGGCAGCCTCCTGCTCTCTGGACTCAGAGACACCGGGGCCTGGGAGGCAGGAGGTGCCGGAGGCGCCAGTTTCTCCTCCTCTAGTTCTAGCCACACCTGGTCCAGCAGGCTCGCCACGGAGCACTTCACGTGTGGCTGATGCACCCAAGCGACTGGATTTATTTTCCGCTTTTAAAACCTAAATTTACGAACCGAAACCACGTGCCATGCTTTCCCAGTAAACACGGTGTATTGTTTTGGTAGGATTACATTTCACTTCAGCCGTTGAGAATTTATTATCTGGATTGAGATGCGTTTTCAGAGCAAAAGGTTTCGAAGACAGAGGGAAAAAAGAATACATTCTCTTATAATACTTTTCTATATTTATGACAAGTCATAATGGTAATATTTTGGATTTACTGAGTTAGATAAAATCCATTATTGAAGAGAGTCTCATTTTCTGGCTAGAAATTTAAAAGTAACAGAGAGGCTTGCTTTATATTTCTATTGGACCGTGCGGTTCTCCATTTGAAGGGGGAGGTGCCTGGTAGACGTGGAGCAGACGGGGCGCTAGGCAGCCTTCGTGAAGGGGGCGGGCATTTCAGGGGCTGGAAGCAGCCTGCCAGCTCTCAGCCCGACCAGGCGTCCGCAAGGCCCACACCCGAGGCCACATGACCAGGAGCAGGGTCCACAGGGCAGGAGGGGACGGTCAGCTGCCGCCACCCGGGAGGGCGTTTTCTGTGCTGGGTCTTGCATCTAGAGTGCCACCGACCCCGGAACCAGGGTCGGAGGACCTGGGACCCGGGCTGACACACCGTGGCAGGAGGTCCTGTTTGGGGTCCCGGGTACCCGTCTCTGCAAGGCTGCCCCAGGCAGAGGGCGCGAGTCAGCTCCGGGCTCTCAGAAGGCTGGGCTGGAACCAGCGGTGGAGGGGACAGGGAGGCACATTCTAGCGGTCAGCCCCGCCCGTGGGAAGGAGGGCTCCTCACCAGCAAGGCTGGCCGAGGACGGGGGGATGGGAAGGGGCCTTGAGGATGAACTGGGTCCTTAGCGGCCCCAGGGCCCCGCGGGGTCTCAGTCAGAGCCCCCCGAGGCGGCCCAGCCGGTGAGGGCCTGGGCTTCCTCCGCTGCGGTCGGGTCCCTCCCAGGGTTCAGAGCATCACAGCCTCTGACTGCGCCAGGCTGGGCCCCTGCACGCGGCCCCAGGGACCTGCCTGCAGGTGAGTCAGTGCAGGAGGGACAGAGACAGGGCCTCGGTCGCCTGGGCTTTCCCGGGGTCCATGCTACCCACCCACCGGCTCTGCCCTCCCTGCCCCCTGCTGCTCCCACCCAGCTCACAAAGGTGGCCCTGCTCAGCCACGCGGAGTCCGTACGGGCTGGTGAGTGCACAGCGCTCTGTCCTGGCCCGACCTCCTCCTGCACCCCAACCCTCCTCAGCCGGGCTCCTCACAGCACGGTGCACCCCTACGCAGGGAGAGGGGCGCCGTGAGGGTAACCCCATCCCTCTCACACACGCACACATGCGCAGTGCTCCTCATTGGAGGCAGGGACTGGGCTCACAGAGCGGCCATGGATGCTGGCCGCCGAGCCCAGCCGTCCAGACGCTGGGGCAGCTGAGGGCCAGGAGGCTGCCCTCCCCTGAAACCGGACACAAATGGGTCCAGGCCGCCTGTCACTCCAGGAGCCACTTAAGCAGAGACGGGGCTGAGTCGCACAGGGGTGTCTATTCCAATCCTGCCGGCAGCACGGGAGCATCGGCTCAAGACACTCGGCAGCTCTGGGCTCCAGTCCCTTCAGCTGGGAGATGGGCATAAGGCCCGGCTTCACGGGACTGGGAGGGCGGCTGGGAAGCCCTGTGCTCGGCGCCCGGCCTGGAAAGGCCCCTGACACGCACTTGCCACCCTCGCCTCCTCCCTGGGACCATGAGGAGTTGGGAGCTGAGGGAGCCCCGGGGGCATCCCCTCCCCCCTCCTGGGCTCTCTGTCTGGGTCTGGCCTCTCTCTGCCCTGAACACACCAGCAGCTCTGCTGGCCGCGCGTCCGTGTGTCCAGAGCAGCTCCGGGTCCAGGTGTCTCGTGGCAAAGCCTCTGAGCCGGTGGCCTGAGGGCTTCGATCAGTGTCTGTGGGCGGCTTCTCCTCGGCTCCTCAGAGTGGGTCCTGGTCTGCGGTCTGCCCCCTGCCCCCTGCCCGCCTCCCCTGGAGCTGGGCCCACAGGCGGCCTCCCCGCCCCAGGCTGCCTGTTTCTGTCCACCTCCTGGGACAGTGTGTTCCTGGCACAAGCACCTCCTGTGCACCGGGCTCCATGCTGGGCCTGGGCCGTGGGGAGGGGCCGCCCGGCCACGCCAGCCTGCGCTGCAGGTGGACAGGACGCTGCGCACCCACAGGACACGCGCTTCCTAGTGCCTGCTGTGCCCCACACACTGCTCCCCCTTTTCCACAGTGACCGGAGCCCCAGAAGCTCATGGCCACTCCGCCTTCCTCCATTGACGGATGGACAGCCATCCACAGGACGCCCAGGGCCTGCGTGTGTGCTAAGTCAGACCTCATTCTTACAAAGGCTGCAGGTCAATTTCCCGACTTGCATTGGGGGACTGAGGCCCAGGGGGGCAGTGACTTCTCTCAAGCAGAGGCCTCTGTGGGCCCCAGGGAGCCGCGAGTCTGGCTCTCCAGTCTGGGTCTCGGGTTCTGGGGGAACACTCTGGGGAGATGCTGACCCAACAGGAGCCCGTGAGGCAGCCCGGATGGAGCCGGAGCTGGGGGCAGGGAGGGGCAGGTCTGTCTGCTGCCGGGTCTGGGGCCGCCAGCCGCTCCTCCTCCTGTTTCCCAGGCGCCTGGGCCTGTGGCTCACTGACCACATGCGCAAACCCCAGGCCCATGTCCCCTTCGCTCAGATTCTCCAACCAGCGACCTTTGCCACAGAAACCTTTGCCCGATAGTCACGCAGGTAGAGGGAAGGACAGATTGCACTAGAGATTGATTTTCTGGAGCAATAATTAGGTTGGGACACCATGTCTCTTTACTCCTAAATATCTCGGTGTTTTTCCTAAGAACAAGGACTTTGCAAACTTGGAAAGTGTATCACCAGCACAGCGCTATTTAATTCTCAGCTCACACGGAAATTCTGTCACTTGTTCCTTCAGGCCAGGTTCAGGTCAAGGGCCAGGGACTGCACTCAGTTCCATGTCCCTTTGGTCTCCTTTAAACTGCCCTTGTCTTTCTTTCTTTTTTTAAAAAACTATATTTTATTGATTTTTTACAGAGAGGAAGGGAGAGGGATAGAGAGTTAGAAACATCGATGAGAGAAACATTGATCAGCTGCCTCCTGCACACTCCCCACTGGGGCTGGGCCCGCAACCAAGGTACATGCCCTTGACCGGAATTGAACCTGGGACCCTTGAGTCCGCATGCCGATGCTCTATCCACTGAGCCAAACTGGTTAGGGCTCTTTTTTTTTAATATATACTTTTATTGATTTCAGAGAGGAAGGGAGAGAGAGATAGAAATATCAATGATGAGAGAGAATCACTGATTGGCTGCCTCCTGCACGCCCCCTTCTGGGGATCGAGCCTGCAACCTGGGCATGTGCCCTTGACCGGAATTGAACCTGGGACCCTTCAGTCTGCAGGACAACACTCTATCCACTGAGCCAAACCGACTAGGGCTAAACTGCCTTTGTCTTTCATGATCTTAACTTTTTTCAAGTGCCCTGGCCCAGGTGGCAAGTGGTTAGAGCGCAGGCCCTAACACTGAAGGGTCGTGGGTTAGATTCCCAGTCAAGGGCAGGTAGGTAGATTGCGGGTTCGATCCCTGGCCCCAGTCAGGGCACTTGCAGGAGGCAACCATCCATGTATCTCTCTCACATTGATGTTTCTCTCCTGTTCTTGCTCTCTCTCTTCCTCCTTCCCCTCTCCCTTCACCTCTTTCTTAAAATTAATGGAAAAAATATCCTCGGGTGAGGATTAACCAAAAAAAAAAAAGAAGAGAAAAGAAAGAAGAAAAGAAAAGAAAAGAAAAGAAAAGAAAAGAAAAGAAAAGAAAAGAAAGAAAAGGGTACAGGCAAGTTATTAATAGAATGTCCCTTAACCGTATTTAATCCCTTAAATTATGTTTCCTCATAATTTCACTCAAGTTATGCATCTTCGCCCAGAATTCTACAGAAGTGATGTGCATTGGTTTCCTGTTGCCATTGGAACAAATGACCACACACTAAGTGGCTAAGGAAACCACAGGTTTCCTGGGTTGCAGTGTGGGCGGTCGCAGTCTGCAGTGGGTTCACTGGGTCACAGTCACAGTGTCCACGGGGCCGCCTCCTTCTGGAGCCCTTAGGGAGAACCCCCTCCCTGCCTTTTAGAGGCGCCCACAGTCCTTGGCTCGTGGCCCCTTCCTCATCTTCAAAGTCAGCTCTGCGGGATCTTTAGACGGCTTTGCCTCTCTCTCTACGTGTGAGGTAGAAGTACAATTACATGCCCCCACAAGGTAACCGAGAATAACCTCCCTATTTTTAAGATCCTTAATTTAATCACATCTTTGTCAAAAAGATCTTTGACACGTAAGATAACATGTTCCCGGATTCTGAGTGTTAGGATGGGACATCTTGGAGGGTCATTCAGTCTTTCACATGTGTGTCCTCCTTAGGGGATCATACCTGGAGGCAGGTGATGTCAGTCTGTCCCATTATTGTGACTATATAAATGTGATACTTGGTTATGGTTGTATTTGCAAGGTTAACTCCCTGTAATCTATGTTTTACTTTTGTAATTAATAGTCAATGTGAGGGCGATACTCTGAAACCAGGTCAATATCCTGTTCCTGGCCTCTATTGATGATTATTGGCTAACGCCTTTATTATCGAGAATCTTGCAAAGGGATTGTCCATTCTCTACGGTGATCACTTAGCACTTAACATAGGGGAGAGCTTTGCCTTGTCCTCCATGTATTTATTCCTTCATCTCACTTACTGACTCACAGGCTCCTCTGGTGCATGGGGGACGCTCAATCCACTGAGCCTCGCCGGCCGGGCTAGACTCTGATTCCGCAAACAATCTGTTATTCAAATGATGTGTTTTGGTGTCCACTCTGTCCCAGAGTTAGCCAAGCTGGCTCCTGAATCCTTTGGACGAGTCTCCATCTTTCCTTCAACACTTGCTTTCTGCCATCCGAGGTTCCAGGCTCACCTTGTGCTTGTCCTGCTCTGCCCTGCAATCAGTCATTCCCCCAGAGTTTTCCCCTGTTTGCGTGGAATGGTGTTTAGAAACCAAGGTCTTGGTGCTGGGTGTGCTCATTCCTTTTGGGCTTCTAGGCCCTGTCAGAGGACAGAGCTTCGGGATATCAATAAAACTCAATAGGCTGCTTTTGTTGATCCTAGTGGATAAGGAAGAGGTTCCTCAAAACCTTCCCTGCTATCTGAAGCTGGGACAGAGATGGATATCACACAACACGTTCAGCCAAGACTCTGGAATCACAAGAGGCACCAGATTCTACGACTGCGCTTCATGTGTCAGCATCAAAAAGGTAGTGAGGGTCATGAGCTCTTGTGGCAGGCACTTCACCTCTGGACACTGCCTTCCTGTTACTCTATTTCAATGACACTCATAAAAGTGTTCAGAAGGCCAAACTTCTACCCGGAGGCCTGGAGGAATTCATGGGAAGGGACTCTTCTCTTCTCTTGCGGAGGCCACGGCAAGCAGGCAGTATTGCATCTAAGATTCCTGGCCCCTCCCAGAAACATGATGGGCCTGAAGGTAACCAGTGTTCCCTCCACCATTTCCAAGTCAGTTTCCATCAGCTGGGCTGTGATCACGGGATCATTGCTCCCAATCTCTATACCCCAAACTACTGTAAGGGTGCCTGCCCTTAGGTACTACACTATGGTCTCAGTTCTCCCAATCACGCCATCATCCAGAACCTTGTCAATGAGCTGGTGAACCAGAGTGTCCCTCGGCCCTCATGTGTCCCTTATAAGTATGCTCCCATCAGCATCCTTATGGCTGAGGCTAATGGGACTATCTTGTACAAGGAGTATGAGGATGTGAGTGCCCAGGCCTGCACATGTAGGTGATAGCACAGATACAGGTAGCTCAAGTTTCCCAAGAAATTGGAGTAGGGTTTAAAATAAAGAGACAAATGTCAATGTTAAAGCTGCAGTGATGCTCTAGCTAAAAAATAAAAATAAAAAAATAAAAGAATAAAAATAAAAAATAAAAATAAAAAAATAAAAGAATTAAAAAAAATAAAAATAAAAAAATAAAAGAATAAAAATAAAAAAATAAAAATAAAAAAACTCAATAAGAGTAACTGACACACAGCAACAGCTGTTTCCCTCTTTGTCCATCTACACCCGCGAGGACGTGGGGAGCAGGTGCGTCATCCCTCGAGAACAAACCTGGGAGGTGATGGATAACAGCCACCGGACGTCGGCAGGGATGTCGGGAAGCCACAGCACCAGCCTGCAGGATAAAAGCAGACAGACAGACAGACACACACACACACACTGTCAGCAGGAAGATGAGCCAAACGAAGAGAACCAAACAAAAGCTGAACGAAAGACAGCCAGCTTAACAACAGGCCCCTTGTGCCACTAAACTGCGGGGCTCACGTCTAATCCCAATCGGATAAATCCTCAGAAGGTGGGTTCGGACAAGCCAACCTAAAAGCCCCAAACTTCGGCCGCTCTTTAGTCAGGAAAGCTCGAGGGGTTTCCATGGGAATCGCAGGAGAAGGCTGGATTTCCCGGATTCTGCTTGTCCGAGGCAAGATGCCTGAAGCTTGGAGTGGAGACACCACCCCCTCCACCAGCCCGACTGCACGTGTCCACATGCAAGTCCAGCAGGGGAAGCCTGACCACGGCCTCCACAGACTCCCTGCCCCTGGACCCCAAAGAACCCCACGCCTGGCCTTTTTTTTTTTTTAAGCTGAGTGAAGGCACAGAACTCTTTTTAATTTTTAAAATAGATCTCAGAGAGGAAGGGAGACAGAGAGAGATAGAAACATCAATGATGAGAGAGAATCATTGATTGGCTGCCTCCTGTGTGCTCCCTACTAGGGATTGAGCCCACAACCCAGGCATGTGCCTTGACCGGAATCAAACCCAGGACCCTTCAGTCCGCAGGCCGATGCTCTATCCACTGAGCAAAACGGGCTAGGGCCCATGCCTGGGCTTTGATAAGTGCCTGAACTTCCGCACAGGGAAAGATGGTGTGGGAACAGGATGCTAATTTGTTGGGGCGGGAAGGGACCTGGGAAGGTCCATGGGTGGACGAACGGAGCTGGATTTTGAAGGATGGGTTGGACTTTAAAAGATGGACTGAAGCACTCAAGTTCAGGAAACACAGACAGTCCCAATCAAGATGAACCCAAAAAGACTCACACCTGGGCACATCAAAATTAAAATGGCAAACGTTAAAGACGAAGAATCTTACAGGAACCAAGAGAGACACAGAAAGTTACCTACAAGGGAGCTCCCATTAGACCGTCAGCTGATTTCTCAATAGAAACACTTCAGGCCAGAAGGGACTGGCATGACGTATACAAAGTAATGAAAAGCAAGGGACCGAATCCAAGACTACTCTAACCAGCAAGGCTATCATTCCAAATTGAAAGTGAAATAAATAGCTTCGCCGACAAAAAATGGCTAAGATAGTTTATCGCCGCCAAACCAAAACCGCAAGAAATGCTACAGGGACTGTTGTAAAAAGAAATGGGGGGGCGGGGGGGGGGGGCGGGGAATACCAGCATAAAGAATAAGAATGGGAACAGATGAGCACCCATCTGTAATAACCTCAAATGTAAACGCTCAGATGCTCCAATCAAACCCATAGGGTGGCTGAATGGGTGGAAAATGTAACCCATATGTAGGCTGTCTACAAAGTCCCACCTCAGAACAAAAGACTCCAAAGGATGAAAGTGAAGGGATGGAAGAATTTTCCCTGCCAATGGAAATGAAAGAAAAAAACCTGGGGTAGCAATACTCATATCTGACGAAAAAGACTTCAAAATGCATCACCTAGGGCAAGAGAAACAAAGGAAAAACTAAACAAGAGGGAATATACCAAAATAAAAAGCATCTGCACAGCCAAAGACACCAGCATCAAAATGAAAAGGGAGCCCACTGCATGGGAGAACATATTTGCCACTGATACATCTGCTAAGGGGTTTTCCAAAAATGTATAAAATACTCATCTAACTCAACAAGTGGTAGACAAACAGTCCAATTAAAAAATGGGTAGAAGACCTGAATAGACACTTCTCCAAAGAGTACATACAAATGGCCAAGAGACACGTGAAAAAATGCCCAGCGTCACTAATAATCAGAAAAATGAAAATCCAAATGATAATGAGGTACCACCTCACACCTGCCAGGATGGCTACCATCAACAAATCAACAAACGACAAGTGCTGGCGAGGATTTGGAGAAGAGGGAGCCCTCATGTACTGCTGGTGGGAATGCAGACTGGTGCAGCCACTATGGAAAACAGAGCGGAGTTTCCTCAAAAAATTAAAAATGGAACTCCCATTTGACCCAGTGATCCCACGTCTATGACTATACCCTAAGAAGCCAGAAACAGCAATCAGAAAGAATGTATGCTCCCTTACATTCATAGCGGTGTTATTCACACTAGCTAAGACTTGGAAACAGCCCAAGTGCCCATCAGCAGATAAGTCATAAAAAAGCTGTGGAATATTTATACCATGGAATACTACACAGCAGTAAAAAGTACGATCTCATACCCTTTGAACAGCCTAGAGGTGTTACACTAAGTGAAATAAGCTGGTCAGAGAAAGACAAGTTCCCATGATCTCACTCCTATGTGGAAGCTAATGAATGAAATAAACTGAACTGATGAACAAAAAATATCTAGACATCGAAGCAGGCAACAGACTGACATATTTAGAGGGAAGGGGGAGAGGCTAATCCATTTATGTGCATGTATGCACAGCTCACGGACAGACAAAAGTGGGGGGAGGAGGTGGGAGCAGGGTGGAGGGGGCCACTGGGGGGGAAAAGGGGACATCTGTAATACTTTCAACAATAGAGATAAATTTAAATAATAAAATCTATAATAATAAAAGGGTAATATGCTAATTAGACCAGACATCATTCCAGATGTCATTCCGGAGGAAGCCGGTGCTGGCAGCTGGGGCAAGGACGACCTACTCTTGCACAAATATTCGTGCATCGGGCCTCTAGTCAAATATATCAGTAAGATGGACACCCTAGGTTAACCCACTAAAAAGGAAGTAAACACCCAAGCCTGCTGGAAGAAAGCTGAGTAAAATGAATGCCCAGGACTCCGGGTGCATACCTGTTTGCCTCAAGTCCCTCCTTCCCCGGGATACAGTCCCCAAATAAAAGGGCAGAGCTGCAAGAAGTGACAAGCCTACAACAGCAACGGCAAAGGAGGTGACAGCCCTGACCCGGTAGATCAGTTGGCTGAGAGCATCATCTGGGTGGGACAAGGTTGTGGGTTCAATCACTGGCCAGGGCACACACAGGAATCAACCAATGAATGCATGAATGGGGTGGAACAACAAAATGATCTCTCTCTCTCCCTCTCTCCCTCTCTCTCTCTTCCCCTTCCACTCTCTAAAATCAAACAATAAAAAATGAATAAAACAGCGGACTCTCATAGCCAGTTAGCCTGGAGGTCAAATCACCCCCGGTATTGCTGACAACAATCAAGGCTTAACTACAACAAGACTGCGCACAAAGACCACTAGGGGGTGCACCAGGAAAGCATAAAAAATGCAGAGACAAAGAAACAGGACAAAACTGTCAGTGGAGGATATTGAGTTCAGAACCACACTTTTAAGGTCTCTTAAGAACTGTCTAGAAGCCATCAATAAATGTAGTGAGATCCTCAAGAAAACTAATGAGACCCTCGATGTTATGATGGGGAACCAACTAGAAATTAAGCATACACGGACTGAAATAACGAATACTATACAGACTCCCAACAGCAGACCAGAGGAGCGCAAGAATCAAGGCAAAGATTTGAAATGCGAAGAAGCAAAAAACACCCAACCAGAAAAGCAAAATGAAAAAAGAATCCGAAAATATGAAGATAGTGTAAGGAGCCTCTGAGACAGCTTCAAGCGTACCAACATCAGAATTATAGGGGTGCCAGAAGATGAGAGAGAGCAAGATATTGAAAACCTATTTGAAGAAATAATGACAGAAAACTTCCCCCACCTGGTGAAAGAAATAGACTTACAGGTCCAGGAAGCGCAGAGAACCCCAAACAAAAGGAACCCAAAGAGGACCACACCAAGACACATCATAATTAAAATGCCAAGAGCAAAAGACAAAGAGAGAATCTTAAAAGCAGCAAGAGAAAAAAAGTCAGTTACCTACAAGGGAGTACCCATACAACTGTCAGCTGATTTCTCAACAGAAACTTTGCAGGCCAGAAGGGAATGGCAAGAAATATTCAAAGTGATGAATACCAAGAACCTACAACCAAGATTACTTTATCCAGCAAAGCTATCATTCAGAACTGAAGGTCAGATAAAGAGCTTCACAGATAAGGAAAAGCTAAAGGAGTTCATCACCACCAAACCAGGATTATATGAAATGCTGAAAGGTATCCTTTAAGAAGAGGAAGAGGAAGAAAAAGGTAAAGATACAAATTATGAACAACAAACATGCATCTATCAACAAGTGAATCTAAGAATCAAGTGAATAAGTAACCTGGTGATCATAATAGAATCAGGGACATAGAAAGGGAATGGACTGACTATTCTTGGGGGGGAAAGGGGTGTGGGAGATGCGGGAAGAGACTGGACAAATATCGTGCACCTATGGATGAGGACAGTGGGGGGGGGGGGGTGTGAGGGCAGAGGGTGGGGCGGGAACTGGGAGGAGAGGAGTTATGGGGGGAAAAAAGAGGAACAAATGTAATAATCTGAACAATAAAGATTTAATTAAAAAAAAAAAAAAGTTTGCCCACCCCTGGATTAGCCCCATCTCTAAAAAAAAAAAAAAAATGAATAAAAAGAAAGGAGGTGGGTTGGGCCAGGCCTCAGCACGAGGCACCTCTCAGGAACAGACCCTATAGACTGTGACCCCTACTGCCCTGCACAGGAGCCAGGCCCAGGCGTGGGGCCTTAGGTGAACTCTCCCTTAACCCTCACTCAACCGCCGAGACACAAAGCCGCCCACACTGCTCACCTCTGGGCCACCGCGAGTGCGGTCTCCACGGGCAGCGTACAGGGCAGCATCACGTAAGACATGACCTTCACCGGTAGGAAGCTGCAGATCTTGCTCCAGCGGCCACCTCGGGGTCTCAGTGCCTCACTCAGGCCTGAAAGATACCATTGGGGGAGGGGCGTCCCCCCAGTGTAACCTCACCCAGGTGCTGCCTGCAATTCCAGTGAAACACACAAATCCTGCTGCCAGAGAATCAGAAGCCGGGCCCATGCCATGGATCAGGGAGTGCGGCCTGAACAGCCCTGGGACACCCACGCCCCGGATCAACTGTCCCACTGGCAGCTCTCCCTGGAGGAGGCACCGACCCCCAACCCCACCCGCCTTACGGGCTTTCCCAACACGCCCTCTTCTGCCTGGAGCCCTGGCTTCTGTTTCCCCTTCGTCGTGGCCTCAGGACCCTCAAATCGTAGCAACCTGGGCACCAGCGTCTTGCTTATCTTTGAATTTCTCCCAGTACCCGATTTGCACTCCTGGCCCATCTGGTGTCTGACGACATGATCAAATGCACTACCGTCGTTCAAGGACAAGTTCAAAGCTGAGGGTTCGGGGAAGGGGAGGCAGACAGGCTCCTCCAGAAAGAAGGCGTGGAGACGGGGCCCAGGCAGAGAATGGTGTTCTGGAAGAATGGTGGTCTAGGTGCGCCCGGACCCAGGAACTGGGCGCATGCCCGCTTAACTCCCAACGGGCTCACCGGGAGTGTGGCTTTTTCTGGCCGTGCACACGGGGAAGGGAGGCTGAGCAAGGCGCCCGGGTGGGGAGATGGTGCCAGGAGGTGGGGCCTCCTCTCCTCCCCGTGGCAGCGTCACCTCCTCCCCAATCTGGAGAGAAGCCCTCTGAGCCTCAGCAACAGAGAGCAGCACCCTGCCGTCCCGCCAGAGGCGTCTCACCCGCAATGAGCTTGGGCGACAGGGTCTCCAGGATGCTCTCGTCCCAGGACCGGAGGCTGACACGCAGGTGGGCCAGCAGCTCGGCCACCTCGGGCCTCCCCTGCCAGGCAGCCGCCCCCGGGGAAGCCTCGGGGCTCGCGGTTTCCCAGGAGAACGGAAGGAACTCGGGCGCTGCCGAGGGCACACTCGGGCTCGGACGGGGCCTGTCACAGATGCCTACGCGGGGCACGGAGACAGGGGGCATGACTCACACACCCACCCACTCATGACAGGAGGCCAGCGGCCACCAGACATCCAGAGGGGCCTTCCCACGCTCCCCTCTGGCCTCCCTCCCTCCTGCTTCAGCAGCCCTCCCTGGCTCCCTACTGCTGCAGTGCAGGCTTCACCATGCGCACGGGGCCCAGCTTGCGCCTCTCCTCTGTCCATCTCTCAGCCACTGCAGTTACACAGGCCTTTTCCCCTCCTATCCATCTCCAAAGTGGAGTCACCTCCTCCTGGAAGCCCCCCTTTCCCCCAGGCCTTGCAGCTCCCTCCTGTGTGGCCCTGTAGCAGCCCACATCCTGTCCCGCCCTCTGCATGTCATCCCTCCACACGTCATCCATCCCCAGAGTGAGCTCCGGGTGGCAGGGCCCCCCCGCACTCAGCCACGTGCGTGGCACCTGGAAGGGACACAATGGACACTTCCTGAGTGGGTAACACGTGCAGGTCCTAGTGACCAGACGGACTCCTTGGTCTCGGCCTCAGGCTAATGGACGCGGTCAATACAGGAGCCAACGTGCAGCATCGAAGAAAAGCAGCTCCGAACACATCTTACGGTGGGTTCCACGCGAATGTGTCAGGAGCCCGACTCCTCACCGAGTGAGGGCACAGGCCCTGGGGCTTTCCAAGGCTGCTGACCAACAGCGGAGGCAAAGGGCTCATCTGGCCCGGCCAGTGTGGCTCAGTGGACGAGCCTCAACCCATGAACCCGGAGGGCACGGTTCTGTTCCCGGCCTGCGCACTGCCCGAACTGCGGATTCTCCCTCCCTCTCCCTTCCTCTCTCTGAAACCAATAAAACCATATATTTTCTTTTCTTTTTAATTTTTTTTTAGAGAAAAGGGCTCGTCTGCTCCCCAGCTCATACGTACCTTTTTCTTCCAGGAACCTGCCCGCATCCAAGTACCCTCGCAGGCAAATCTCTCCCAGCACCTGTAAGCCAGCAAGTAAGTGAACTCCCGGCTGACTCGCTAAGCCTCGTTCATTTAAACTGAAGACTCCTTCAAACTCTGAGCTGCCTCCATGGGCCGGGCATGGCCGGACAAGGGACTGGGCAGGAACGACACCCCTCCATGGGGCCTTTGCTGTCACCCAGCATGACAGGCCTGTCCTGGTCCTTGGGGGACAGTTTCAGCTGCCTCCCCTGCTCTGTGCACAAACCACCCACACCAACCAGCTGGTGCCCGGCCTTGCCTCCAGGGGGAGCCCTTGCGGGCTGCTCACTGTCCTGCCCACTTCCCTGCAGCCTCCTGGGCCCCCAAGCCCCTTTAGGGCCCATGTCCACACACCCCCTTACTGTTGGGGTGGGAAGGCACACTACAGCCACCACAGTGCTGCGTGGTTCGTGACCGTGGCCACGAATAAGATCATGTGGGAAACGCGACACATGCTACCGCCCAGGCTGCACCCACAAACAGTCTCCCCAGGATCTGGGGACCGGTCCAGGGCTCCTCTCAGGCACCGGCATTCATGGACGCTCTAGTCCCTCATGTAAATGGTGCCGGGTTTGTACACAGGCTACAGCAGGCACCCGACTCCACGTCACTCTGATTCAGGGTAGGGTGCAGCGAGGGGCAAATTCAAGTTTTGCATTTTGGGACTTTCTGGAATATACACACACACACACACACACACACACACACACACGCGCTTAAGCAACCAAACGACCGGTCGCTATGATGCACACTGACCACCAAGGTGCAGACGCTTAATGCAGGAGCTGCCCCCTGGTGGTCAGTGCACTCCCACAGCAGGAGCGCCCTCAGCTGACCAACCCGTCCCGGCGGCCCACCACACTCCCTCAGTAGTCCTGCAGGTCCAATCTCCGGAGAACAGGCCAGGCACTGACAGACCACTCCGCTGGCAAGATCCCCAACAGCACCACCGGCCTCCTGGAAGTCGGCCTCAGGCGCCATGGCCGCTTCCCCTCCCTAGACCCTCAGCAAAGATAAAACAATATAAAAGCGGCCACCAGGTGGCTCCCAACAAATGGTATGAACGTCAGCGGGATGGATCCTGATCCCGGGCCGGCAAGCACCACCTCCTGCCTGGAGGGCTGATCACTTCCCAGGCCGCCCCGCCTTGGGTGCAGGGCTCACAGTTAGTGAGCACTGCTGGGCGGTGTGAGCCTTTCCCAGTCGTGACTGACAGGGTGTGAGCCTGTGGCAGGTGCAGTAGGGCTGGGATGAGCAGGCATGACAGGCAGGAGCGGCAGGTGGTGTTGGACTGCTGGTTTTGGCCCGATCCCCGCAGGCCACCCCGAGGGACCCCACCTGTGCAAAAATTTGTGCACCAGGCCTCTAGTCCTATCTAATAATAGACAAACATGGTAATTAACCATACCTCCGACACACTTCTTATTGGCTAATCAGGGCAATATGCAAATTAACTGCCAACCAAGATGGCTGCCGGCAGCCAGGCAGCTGAAGTGAACAGGAGGCTTCCTTGCTCCAGTGAAGGAGGAAGCCAAGGTTCCCCGCCTGCCACTGCTGGGCTCTGAGCTTGCACTCTAAGCAACTATGTTGCAATTATAGAAGCTAAACAAACCCCATGCTTTCAGCCAGCCGGCGGAGCTGGAGTTGCAACAGTGTTTCAATTATAGAACCCAAACAAACCCAGATGCCTGCTTTCAGCAGCTGAGGTCTCAGAGCTGGAGCCGAGCCTCAGAGCTAAAGCCAGCTCTCAGTTCCAGTGACAGCCATAGAAGGTAAATAAATCCCAGAATAAAAAAAAGAAAAAAGAAAAAAAGGAGAGGTTGGGAGCTTCAGTCACCCGCCAGCCTGAAAACGGCCCTGAGCCCCTCACCCAGACTGGCCAGGCACCCCAGTGGGGACCCCCACCCTAAAGGGGGTGTGACCAGCTGCAAACAGCCATCATCCCCTCATCCAGGCTGGCCAGGCACCCAAGCGGGACCCCCACCCTGATACAGGACACCCTTCAGGGCAAACCAGCCGGCCCCCACCCGTGCACCAGGCCTCTATCCTATATAGTGAAAGGGTAATATGCCTCCCAGCACCGGAATCAGCGGAGCAGCGAGGCCTCCTGAACCCGGGATCAGTGGAGCCACAAGGCCTCCTGGCACTGGGATCAGCGGAGCCGCGAGGCCTCCTGGCACCTGGATCAGTGGAGCCGCAAGGCCTCCCGGCACTGGGATCAGCGGAGCAGCGAGGCCTCCCAGCACCAGGATCAGCAGAGCCGCGAGGCCTCCTGGCCCCTGGAGCAGCATGACAGGGGGCAGCGCCCAAACCCCCTAATCACCCTGCGGCTCTGTGTGTGACAGGGGGCGGGGCCACAACCTCCCTATCCACCCTGCTCTGTTCTTGACAGGGGAAGGCACCCCAACCCCCTGATTGGCCCTGCTCTGTGCCTGATAGGGGGGAGCTCCCCAACCCCCTGATCAGCCCTGCTCTGTGTGTGACAGGGTGCGGCGCCCCAACCCCCCCCATGGGACCTGCTCTGTGTGTGACGGGGTTGAGCCGCAACCTCCCCATTGGCCCTGCCCTGAGTGTGACAGGGGGGAGTGCCCCAACCCCCTGATCCGCCCTGCTCTGAGTGTGACAGGGGGCGGTGCCCCAACTCCCCTATCGGCCCTACTCTGTGCATGACACGGGGGAGCTCCCCAACCCCCTGATCGAACCTGCTCTGTGTGTGACAGGGTACGGATACCCAACCCCCCTGATGGGCCCCGCACTGTGCGTGACAGGGGGCAGTGCCCCAACTCCCTGATCAGCCCTGCTCTGTGCGTGACAGGGGTGGCACCGCAGCTCCCCAATCGGCCCTGCTCTGAGCCCGACCAGGGGCTGCACCTAGGGATTGGGCCTGCCCTCTGCCACCCAGGAGTGGGCCTAAGCCAGCAGGTCGTTATCTCCCGAGGGGTCCCAAACTGAGAGGGCACAAGTGGGGCTGAGGGACACCCCCCCCTCCAGTGCACAAATTTTTGTGCACCAGGCCTCTAGTCCTATATCATAAAACCCTAATATGCAAATTGACCAAACAGCGGAACGACCGGTTGCTATGACGTGCACTGACCACGAGGGGGCAGACGCTCAAGGCAGGAGCTGCCCCCTGGTGGTCAGTGTGCTCCCCTTGTGGGCTCATGGCCAGAAGCTGGGCTCACAGCTGGCCAGCACAGCGGTAGTGGCGGTAGCCTCTCTTGCCTCCACTGCTGTGCTAAGGACCCCTCGGGGGATTTCCGACTGCTGGCTTAGGTCCGCTGACATCTCCCGAGGGGTGCCAGACTGAAAGGGTGAAGGCTGGGCTGAGGGAACCCCCCCCCCACCGTGCACAAATGTCATGCACCAGGCCTCTAGTGTATGTGTATGTGTA